CCTGGCAGGAGAGGAATCTTCTAGGGGTGGGAGCCCTGGCCAGGCCTGACTGTCGTAGGGGCCCCTGGGGCCCGTGCACGCATGTGGTGAGCTGTGATGTTGGCGGGATAAGGCTGGGATACCAAGCAGGGGGCTCGGGGTCAGGATGCACACCATCGGTGCCTTACACGCCTGGGGAGGTGTGGAACCAGAGCGTGGGCATGGAAGTGGCAGGGAGAGCAGGGTCAGGGCTGGGGGGGACTAGGAATGTCCCCTTGCTGAGCAGGGCAGGGTAGGGTCTGTCCATTTGCCAAGATCAGCCCTGGAGCCGAGTTGGAGGTCTTGTCCCTTGGCACTCGAACGTTCAGTATCTCTCCAAAGTAGTTCCTCTAGACTCTGGGCGCTCCATATGCCTGGCTTCTATTTGGGGTGCCTCCTTCTCCAGGCTGCATGGGGGGGGGGGGCGGAGGTGGGCTCGGCAGCCCCGGGTTAGTGCCCTGGGATACAGTTTGCCCTCCTCTTCCAGCTGTCCTCTGACACCAGCCCAGCCGCCTCACAGAGTAGCCATGAGAGCAGCCTACCTCTTCCTGCTATTCCTGCCTGGTGAGTGGCTCCTGGCGATGGGGCCCCCCTTCTGTCAGTGAGCAGTGAGCGTGAGGTTTGCAGGGGAGGGGGATGGCAGTGAGTCTTTGCTGTGCCCTCTCGCCAGAACTCAGCTCCCTGGGTCCCAGGGCCTCCTGCCTCCTGGACCTCAGACTGGACTGGCCAACCCCTCCCAAAGCCTGAGGCATTTCCTGGGCCCTTACCCCAGCCGCCCAAGCGGCAGGCAAGGGGGATTCTGGAAAGTGGGCACACACCTGGCACCCCGAGTCCATGCCTTTCCTCTTCCTGACCCTCCCAGAAGCTGATGTGTAGGAGTTGGGGGTACCCAAGGCAGGGGCCTAGACCCATTAGGGGCTCAACCCCCTATACAATTTTGACCTTAGAGGGGTCCCTATTGGTCAAGTGAGAAGTTATCAATGGGACTGAAAAGGCCCTGCCTGGTCCATCATGCATTCATTTAACAGATAATTGTTGAGCTCCTACTATGTGCCAGGCACTGGGCTAGGCCCTGGGGATGCAGCGATGAACCAGGCAGACAAGTGCCTGCCCTCATGGTGCTGCCAGTCTAGGGAAGGGAGGGCTGTGTTATCAAGTAGATAAATGTCAGATTGTACTGAGTGCTATGATAGAAATAAGCAGGCGGACGAGATAGAAAGGATGGGTTGGCCAGCGAGAGCCTCTTAGCAGAGCTGAAATTTTATTTAAGACCTAAAGGAGAAGGTAACCAGGATCACAGGCCTGGGAGAGTCAGGTGCAAAGGCCCTGAGGCAGGCAGGAGAGTGCTGAGTGCCAGGAGCAGCCATGAGGCCAGCGTGGGGGAGATGAGCAGGATGAGGTCAATGAGGTGACAGGACCAGGGAGTGTAAGGGCCCTAATGGCTGAGGAAGGAGTTTGGATCCTGTAGATCTAAGAGTCTGGCTGTAGGATCTTAGGGTCTCTTTTACATGCCTATCTGACCTCCCCAAAAGTGTCTCAGGGCCCCTTGCTGTCCCCATGGGGCACCCCCTCATGCTTTCCCTCCCCACGGCAGGCCTGCTGGCTCAGGGGCAATATGACCTGGACCCACTGCCGCCATTCCCAGACCACGTCCAGTACACCCATTACGGTGACCAGATCGGTAAGGCCTTGCCCTCCTGCCCAGGGGCCCCCAGCCCTGCCATGTCATCAAGCTCAGCCAGGGACCTGGTGGGGAGAGGGGGAGGTCCCTGGCTCAGTGGTGACCTCCTTTGCCCCTGGGGATGGGAGGTAGCCTGACCTCCACCAATTTTCATTCATCTCTGTTTTCAGACAACCCGGACTACTATGATTATCAAGGTAAAGGGTAGGGGCCGGACAGGACGGGTGGGCATCTGGGGGGGGAGCCGGCCGCCTTATCATGTCCTGTTGCAGAGGCCACTCCTCGGCCCTCTGAGGAGCAGTTCCAGTTCCAGTCTCAGCAGCAAGTCCAGCAGGAAGTCATCCCGGCGCCCACCTTCGGTAGGCGGCACCCCTGGGAGTGGGGGTCTGTGTGTGTGTGGGGGGGTAGCAGTGACCTCTCTCAATGATCTCTGCCTGCCCCTCTCCCAACACCAGAGCCAGGAAACGAGGAGACGGAGCCCACAGAGCCGGGGCCTCTGGGTAAGAGCTCTCTTGTCCCCTGGAGTCGGGGGAAGTAGGGTGGGACGCTGGTAGAACGGAGACTGCCAGGCCTTGTGCTCTTGCCCGGGTAGGTGGGGGGCAGGAGGCCTGCTTTAGGCGGCCCCCCTAGGCAGCTCTGGGCAGTACCCCAGCCCCCTGGGCCTGGCCTGAGGTTGAATTGGCAGCAGCCTCCGGTGGGGACCTCTGCTCCCAGGCGCTGGGGCGCGGCAGGGGGCGTGTTCCCTTCCTGCCGGCGGTAGTGCTCTGGCAGGCAGGTGACGAGGGGCAGGAAGCCAAGGCTGGCTCAGCAGGCCCCACGCTGTCCAGCCAAGAGCCCGAGAGCCAGACTGAGGGATCCCGTCTGACCCTCGTGAGCTCAGAGTGCAGCGTGCTCCTGTGAGGTGGGTGTGGACTTCTGTGACCGTGTGTTGGGTATGGATTTGTGTTTGACTTTGTGTGACTATATCCTTATTTTCTTTTCTTTCTTTTTTTTTTTTTAATATATTTTATTGATTTTTTACAGAGAGGAAGGGAGAGAGAGATAGAGAGTTAGAAACATCGATGAGAGAGAAACATCGATCAGCTGCCTCCTGCACATCCCCCACTGGGGAAGTGCCTGCAACCCAGGTACATGCCCTTGACCGGAATCGAACCTGGGACCTTTCAGTCCGCAGGCCGACGCTCTATTCGCTGAGCCAAACCGGCTTTGGCGACTATATCCTTCTTAAGTGTGGGTGCGAATCTGTATACAGGAGTCCGTATGTATAAATACACTGTATAAAACTGGGCGGCCGCAGGTCCAACAACACTGTGTGTGCATGTGTTTTGTGTGTGTGTGTGTCTGGGCCAGAGGGTGCAGGGCCTACCTAGACTCTGAGATGAGAGCCAGTCTCTGGTGGGCAAAGTTGGGGGCTCCCCCCCAGTTCTGGGCCCTCAGCTGCAGCCCCCCAGTCTGATCCCACCTGTCACCCAGACTGCCGCGAGGAGCAGTACCCGTGCACCCGCCTCTACTCCATACACAAGCCCTGCAAACAGTGTCTGAACGAGGTCTGCTTCTACAGGTGAGCACAGGCCGGGCGAGGGGAGGGAGCAAAGGGGCGGCTCATGCCAGCCCCCGGGAAATTCGGGGAAAGATAATGAATCCTGGAGTGATTGGGGGTTGAGCCCTGGCCTGGGGGCCGGACTCCCGGGCTCCTATACCAGGCCCTGCCCAGACTCTCCCAGGGGGCTGGGCCAGGGTGGGGCTGACACCTCCCTGGCCTCCTCCCCCAGCCTCCGCAGAATGTACGTCATCAACAGGGAGATCTGTGTCCGCACAGTCTGCGCCCACGAGGAGCTGCTCCGAGGTAGGCAGCCTCCGCCCCGACCTCTGACCTCTCCCTGCTCCCACTCCCTCGTTATCCATCCACCTGTCCACCACTTGATGTTTATAAACACGTGCTTTGTGTGGGGGGCCACTTCCAGGGGATCCTGAAATCAGAGTGGGGAGCAGTTCCCATCACCCAGCCCCACCCTGACCCTCACTCCTTTCTGCCCCCCAACAGCTGACCTGTGTCGGGACAAGTTCTCCAAATGTGGGGTGATGGCCAGCAGCGGCCTGTGCCAATCCGTGGCGGCCTCCTGTGCTCGCAGCTGCGGGGGCTGCTAGGGTGCAGCTGGCACCGAGCCCCGGCCCCTCCTCAGATCCGGGGCCCTCGGGCCCTGCCTGACCTGGTGCTTTCCTTCCCGCCTGACATTCCTTTTATTCTGTCAAAAGTTAGTGGACTGCGGCCCAGGGGGTTGTCTCAGGCCCCTCCCCAGGCTGTGACCACCCCAGAGGCACAATGGGGGCTCCCCACTGCCCAGTCTTTACCCCCAGGTGGGGGGTATCCGGGCCTCAGTGGGACTGGGCCTCCCAAGTGCCTTCTCCACCCTGAGGTAGGCTGTGCCCCTCCCCCCAGCTGGTCTGCTTGGATTTCCTACAGCCCCTGGGCCTAGACCACCTGTTTTATACAAAATTAAAAACAAGTTTTTACAAAAGATTCACTCATTTTTCAGAGAACACAAGGCGGGTGGTGGCCAGGTGCCGCCTGGCCTCTTGAGAAGGGACCGTCCAGCGACCTCAGCTTTGCGTCTGCTGTCCCGGTCCTGCCTCCCCCTCACTGGCATCAGCTCTGACCTGCCAGATGGCATGGCAGCTGCCCCCAGGTGACAGCGTAGATAGAAGGTTCAGGAACACAGCTTTCTTGCTGTCAGGGCCCGAGTCCCCCATCAGAGGGTGCAAGCCCAGGCCGGAGGCGCCAGGACGGAAGCATAAGGGTGTGGATAGGGAGTAAGGCAGGAGGTCAAGGTAGGTGGGCGCTGAGATCAAGGGCTGTGGGAGGAGCCGTTCAGGGCAGAAACAGGGCAAGCCAGTATGCCTCCCTCCGACAGCCTGTGGGGCAGGTTCCCATTCACAGGTGAGCGAGCCGGGCTCTGACAGGTTAAGCGCCTTTGCCCAAGCTCACTCAGCTGAGCCAGGACCCCCCATCCACCCCCAGGCCCGCATTTGTTCCCCACGCAGCCTGCAAGGGCCATCAGTATCCAGAGGGTGGGCCTCACCTGGGAGGGGCTGAGGAAGGGATGTGAAAGCTGGGCCTGGAGTCAGGCCGCACAGGTTGGGCCACACTCCAAGCCTCAACACCCCCCTCTGTTAAATGGGCGGGTGGCACTGGACCCGGGAGGCCTCCCACCCGGACATGCTGAGGGTGGTAAGCTCCACAGGCCTCCCGAAGCCCCTCCCTCCTGCCCAAGGCCCTACCTGTGTCCCCTCCCATCTACCAGGTGGTCGAGGCACATTGACAGTAAAAAAACACGTCGGCACAAAACCATTTTTAGAAAATAGGGTCTTGTAAAAAAACACAAACAGTTCTGAACAGTTAACATTATAAAAAGGTACAAAAATACAGGGACTCTGAACTCCAAGGGATTTCCTGACAAACACTCTGAACTAAGGCAGAGAGACCCCTGGGAAGCCAGGGCAGGGCCTGGGTCTCTGACCCCTGCCCTAGGCCTGGGCACCCCTCCTGCTTCCCATGAGCCCATGCTCCAGGGCCGGCCACCCTGACCCTGGCTTCGGCTCAGCCCCTCAGCGAGGACCTTGTAGAGTCTGGAGTGGCTCACCCGGGGAGGGGCCGGACTGAGGGGGCCCACAGACGGCGCATGGCCCTGATGATGCTGAGAAGCCACTGCTGGGTCGGGCCTGCACTGGAGTCCCCCACCTCCCAGAACTGCCACCTCGGCTCATCCTCACCCCATCTGAGCTCTGGTGGCCCCGACAGGCCCAGGCTTTGAGTGGGCTGTGCTGGAGAGGAGGCCCTCTTCTGCCCCAGGTACCAGCCGGGAAAGGGCTCATTTCTCTGGGGGCCCAGAGGCGGGGGAGAAGGACGCCGAGCTCCTCCGAAGCTCCTGCTGCAAATGCCCCTTCAGTGTGGACACCTGGAGAAGAGAGAGAAGGTGGAGCCGGCCCGGGTGCTCGGCCTGATTGCAGAGAAAGGGGGTGCTTGCAGCTGGGACCCCGGGAGGAAACCCTCATTTAGAGCCAGGGTGTTTCCTTCCCTCCTCACTCTATCCCACGGTGTAGTCAGGTGTCCCCTTCCTCTGATGCTCAGCATCTCTTTGGGGCACCCCATCCCCTCATCACTCAGATGGGCCTGGCATTAGCCTGACTCGCGAGACCCAGGCCTGGCTTAGCGAACCAGCCTTGCCCTGTAGGCATGTGCCCAGGTGGCACGGTCAGTAAGGGGCTGGGATTGAAGCTGGTCAATGAGAAGCAGCCCTGGGACCTCTGCTGTTGCTCCACTCGTCCCCCCGACCCCCAGGCCTGGGATCAAGGGTGGTTGGATTGGAACAACCTGAGTGGGAGCTCCCGAGGCCGCCTGCGCTCAGGGAGAGGGCCTGCCTAGAGCCAGAGCCATGGCAGGGGACTGATTTCCAACGACAGCACTTCAGCTCGTGTTCAGCCACGGTTGACACCCACCCAACCACTTCTGTTTTGGATGCCATAGGTGGCGTACACCCCAGAGGTCACACCCAGCCCTCTCCCCCTCCACCTTCTCTTCCTTCTCCAGCATCACATGCCATGCTGCAGCCCCCAGGGAGGGGCCAGGGCCCAGTCAGGCCTGAGTACCTGCTCCTCCAGCCCACGCACCCGCAGCCGGTGGGCCCGCTCCCGCGCCTCCAGGGTGCGTTCTGTCTGCACCTGGGCATTGCGCAGGCGCTCGACCTCCTGCTGCAGCTCCAGCTGTGGCTGCTCCTCTGCCTCCAGCGCCTCCAGCTCGACTGGGCTCTGGTCCTGCTCCAGCACCACCACCTGGGCCTGCAGGAGAGGCCGCCAGTCAAGAGTCTGAGTGTGTGTGTGTGTGTGTGTGTGTGTGTGTGTGTGTGTGTATGTATGTGGTATATGCACAAGGAGGTATTAGGCACCTCCCCAGGGCAGGAGCCTGAAGGCCCTTGGGGCAAAGCCAGTGCACGCAGGGGATGAAGGAGAGATCCTTGTTTGTTCCTGACCCCTGGCCCTCCTGGTCTGTGATGAGGGTACCTAGTGACTCCCATTCAGATACATACACATACACACACACAGATATATTCAAACACAGGCCCATATATATACATACAGGCACAAAAGAAAGCATGTTCACCTGGGTGTATACATATGTGCAAAAGCCTAATACTCCTACATACCTGAAGACATCTGTACACAGACACGCATACAGATATAACATATTGTTAATACTCAGACTTGCCACATCTGTGCAAGATTTAAGCACCAGAAAATACCCATGAACACTCATGCCTCTATATGTCCACAACACACATCAACACAGACTCGGGTGCTAACCAGCCGTCAGCATCTTTCTCTCAGCTTTGGGGGGACCCCTCCCTCTGGGACCTCACTCTGAGCCCTAGGGTCCGGGCTCAGCGGCTGTGGGCTCTGAACTGGCTGAGCCATCAGCAACTCCTGACTCTGAGGCTGGGGTGGGGCAGGGGCAGGGGTTAGGGAGATGGGGTGCCCAGGACTGGGTGGGCAGGGGCGGGACCTCCAGCAGCTGAATCTGCCTCTGGGCCTCGGCCAACTCCAGCTCAGCCCCCGTGAGTGTGCGGTCCAGGCGGCCCTTCTCGGCACTGAGCCGCACTGTGTCCTCGTGGCTGCGGAGCTTCTCCCGCTCTACCTAGGTGGGGAGAGCAGGAGGGGAGCAGGGTGCCGGGAAGTGGGGGGCTCCGGGAGAGTGTTAGGTTAGAGGCAGAAGGACCAGGGACCCTAGTGACATGCAGCTGGACCAACCATGGAAGTGAGGGGAGGGTCCTGGGGAGCAGCCCACCTTGTCCAGCGTCTTCTTGAGGGCCACCCGGTCCTTCTCCAGCCGCAGGGCTGACCGCTCCACCTCCCGCTTCTCAGCCTCCAGCTGAGCCAGAGCGCGTTGCAGGCCGCCCAGGCGCTCCTGCAGCCGCCGCCGCTCGTCCTGCAGCTTCTGGACCGTGTGCAGGGCCGCAGCCTCAGCCTCCTGCCGCTGCCGCAGCACCTGCAACAGGAGCAGCAAGCCCCTCATTCCTCTGGGCCTCAGTGAGTGCGTCTGAAGCCCGGGGAGGGCAATGCCAGCCTGCCATGCCCACTAACTCGGCAGGGCGGCTGTGAGGCCCGCACCAGGAAACTGTCTCCGGAGGCCAGACAGCTCTCCTCTCGGGCCTCAGTTTCTCCATCTCTATAATGGGGGTACCATGCTTCATCCCTGGCTTGTGGATTATGGGGATTCCTCCTCCCAGAGGACCGGGCCTGGATTTGGGATGAGGTTAAGGTAGGTGGGAAGGTCCCCACCTCATCCTGAGGGCCTCAGCATCCTGGCGACAGAAGGGGTCCCCCCTGGCCCTCACCTCCCGCAGCTGTTGCAGCTGGCCCTCAGCCTCCGCCCGCTGCAGCTCCAGGTCCGCCATCTCGCCCCGCATCGTCTGCACCTGCTCAGCTAGGGCGCCGCTTTGCTTCCGGGCCTCGGACAGCGCCTGCCGAGCAGCCTCCAGCCGTTCCTGGGGGACAGGGGCTGATGGCGCCAGGCTGGGCACCCCTCTACTCGGTATCTTAGGCCAGTTTCACAGCCCATAAAAGAGGTGTCATCTCACCTGGAGGGTGAGCCAGACAGCGGGACTGGCCCACAGCCTACACTGAGCTATAGAAGACCAGGACCCTCCCAGAACCCATCTGTCTCGCCCACTAACCCTGCACCTAGGTCCCTCAAAGCGGGTGCTAGTCGGCTGTTCTCTTATTGGCCCCCCACCACCCAGCAGAGCCTCCTCTTACTCACTGATGCTCTTATTAAGCCCACCCCTCCCTCTCATTGATTGGCTCCTTGAGGTTTCCAACTGACTGCCTCATTGGCTGGCTCTCTACCAGACCCCTCCAAGCCTGTCTATTGGCTAACTAACTCTCTTGCTGGGCCCATCCCAGCCAGACCCTGGAGTCCGTCTGTACCTGGAGCACTTGGCGGTCATGTTCGCAGGCCGTCAGGGCCTTCTGCAGTTGCAGATTCTTGTCCTGGGTGCTGCTGAGGCTGGCGCTGTTCTGGGCCAGGGCCTCCGACAGGCCCTTCACCTTGTCACGCAGGGCCCCCTCGCTCTCCTCCACCTTGGCCAGTGCCCCGTTCAGCCGCTCCACTGTCAGCTGCAGAGTCCCTGCCTTCACCTCGCTGTCTGCCACCTGGCAGGAGCGACAGGGTGGGAAAATGGCTGTTCTCACTGTGGCCTCCACAAGAAAGGTCCCACCCAAGCCAAACCCTTCCCCTCTCTCTAGGCCTTCATCACTGATGCTCACTGTTCCCATGCACGCCTACTGGCTCAGCCTACTCGCACCGAGGCCCGTCCCACTGCGGGTCAACTACCCACACCCACAGCACCATCAACCCGATGGTCTCAGACGCCATGGTCTCCTCTCTGTTCTCATCGCCCTCTCCTCTCTGCTAACGAGAATGAACAGTATCTACCACAACCCTGGAATTTCTGTGTTCTTGACTTTGGTGGGGGATTGTGCAGGGCTAGCAGAACTACTGAACAGTCCGGTTAGAGATGAGCTTCCTGGCAGCCAGGGAAAAATAGGAAATGAGTGAAGTCTACTTCTCCAGCTTCTCCAGCATGCTTCCCATGAGTGCAGATTCTGCCATCAACCAGTCCTAAATTCTGATGTGGGCTCTGCCTCTTATTAGCTACATGATCTTGGGCGATGACATCACCTCCTGAACCTCTATTCATCCATCCATGAAACAGGGATGATACTATCTCACAGGGAGGATTACATAGTCCCTGTATAGCACTTGGCACTGGGCCTGCTCGGGGGGAGGGGACCCACCTGTCTCTGCAGGGAGTCCACCCGCTCCTGGAGGGCCTGGGCCTGGGCCTCCCGGTCGCTCAGGCCCAGGCGGCTGCGCTGCAGCTCCCCCTCGAGCGAGCGCCGCTGCAGCTCCAGCTTGATGGTGCGGCTCTCAGAGGCGTCCAGCACCTCCTTCAGGCGCCGCTTGTCACTCTCCAGCTTCACCTCATTGGCCTTCATCTTGCTGATCTTCTCCTGTGGGTGGGGGAGGGCTCAGGCCCCAGCTGTCCAGCCCACCCCACCCCACCCCTGCCGCATCCCTCAGGACCCCCTGGAGAAAGTGGGGAGCAGCCTAGAAGCTGCAAGTGTGACCTGAGTTGAGTCGGGCAGAAGCCCTGGGCCCCCGCAGGTTTTAGGGTATGATGCTCCTCCCCCCAAGTGAGTTCAGACTGTGAAGGAGACTTGGGGAGAGGGGACAGGTCAGGAAGACAGACTGGGGTCCTTCCATCCTGTCACCCATCCTGGAGACAGGGCAGGTCAAGGGGGTGTTCTTACAACCACCCCCCCCCCCCACACACACACACCCGCCAGGCCTGGCCCCTCTCCCGCCCTGCTCAGAGCCCCAACCCTGCCAGGTCTACACCCGGCAGCCCCACGCTGGCTCCTGCCCAGCTTTGTTCCTGGCCTCCTCCCGCAGCCCCTGTGGCTGGGACCAAGGCCAGCGCTGGAGCCGCAGACACAACAACCCAGCTCAAGCTGGGCCTAGAGCCAGAGGCAGAGGGTGGGCTGCAGGGGCAGTAATGGAGGGGCAGGGAGGAAAGGGGGGAGAAGGAAACAGAGGGGATCCAGATCCATGGCTGTGCTAAGGTCTCAAGTCCTTGGCAGCTTGGACTGTCACCATCAGGGCCTGTGCACCCTGCCCCCCACCCCCCGTTCCCCGCCCCCCACATACAGATGCCCAGCAAACACATAAAACCCCCAGAACATCACTCATGTGGCTCTACAGAGACGAAGGGAACAGAGGTCCCAAGTGCTCTCACTTCAATGGGTGCTGAGACCAGGCAGAAACAGAGATGCATGCACACAATAGGACTTACAAACACCTATTCAGACAGCAGATCCTCCCCTCATCCCACTGGCCCTCAGCCCTGCCTACCTGGCTGGCCCGGAGCTCACTCTCGGTGGCCTGCAGGCTCCTCTCCAGGGCGGCCACCTGGTCTAGGGCAGCCCGGCGCTCCCGCTCGCTGCGTCGCACACTGTCCTCCTGCAGCGCCAGCTCCGCCTGGGCCCCGCTCAGCCGCCCGTCCACACTGCGCCGAGCTGTGGCCCCCACCCCAGGGGTGAGGCCTGGCCAGGCACAGCCCCGATGCCTGACCCAGGCCCCAAAATACCTGGCCTGCCCTCCACTCACCATGGGACCTGCCTCTCTGAGTCTTTGAGGGTCTGTAAGTCTGAACATGGGGTGGGCCTGATCAAGGAGGGTCCCCCAGAAATGACGGCCCCCAACTGTCGTTTAGGGTGTGATGCTCCTGGTCACAGTGGCCAGGGCAGGGATGCAGGAGCCGCTCAGGGCAATCCCACAGCCTTCCAGCTCCGCTGCGAAGAGCACACGAGAGCAAAGCAAAGGCCCGGGGTCAGACTCACCTTCCTCACTCTGGGCCACAGCCTTTTGCAGCTGCCTTGCCCTCGAGGTTGCGCTGTCCCTCTCGGCCTCCATCTCCACCAGCTGGCGACTCAGGGCACTGGTCTGGGCCCGAAACTCATCCTGCAGTCCCAAGGTCAGGGGAAGGGGAAGACCCCTGCTCTGACAACCTGCAGCCCCTCCCAGGTCTCAGCCACCCGTTCCCTACCTGGCCCTACACACCAGCCTCACCCGTTCTCTCTGGGTGCTCCGCAGCTCCTGCAGGAAATCCCGGAGGGCCCCTCGCACGGCCTCTGGGTCCAGGTCTGGAGACGTCGGGGAGGTAGCAGGTCCTGGGGACGGTGGCTCAGATCCAGGGCTACGTTCCAAGGGGGTGGGGCTGCTGGGCCCGTCCCCACTTCCTGGAGGAGGAGACCTGCTCAGGGATGCAGGAGCCATGGCCTCTCCTGCTGGGATAGTGCCTGCAGGCTCTCGGCACATCTCCCCCAACCCTGCTATGCCCAGCAGCCCACGTGAGCCCGTAGCACAAACCGGGTCCCCTCACCCTCCTGTCACCCTTCACCAGCCCTCAGTTCAGCCCAACTTCCATGCCATCACTTAGAGGCCCTGCTGCTCACCCCCAGTCTGAGCCTCTCACCCTTTACAAGCTGGCCACTCCCCATCACCCTCAGCTCCATGTTCCAGAATAGTCCCTCTTCCAGCACTAGGGCCTTCATACATGCTGTTCCCTTCTCTCCCCACGACTGTGTTGGGGTGAATTCATCCCACCCTCGTGGAGCTCCAATGCCTGCTCCCACCCAGACCATGACGCCTGGACGGCTGTGTCCCCAGGGCCCAGCCCAAGTGTGGACACTCCATCACCTCGACATCTCCCAGTACTGAGTGCGGGCACTAGGCCAAAGCTTTCCCTACGTCACCTCCTTCCATCCTCACAGGAATTCCCTGAGAGGTGAGGACCAATTCCCCCTTCACAGGCGGGGCGGGCTCAAAGCTGTTAACTGATTTGCTTGGTCTCAAAGCTGGGAAGAGGATGAGCAACAGAACCGGGAGGGGCAGAATTAACAGAGACAGGGCGGCACCTAGAGGTCAACATCGGAACTGCAGGATGGGCTCCAGCCTGTTAGCATCCTCCAGCCTCCGCCATGGGACACCCAAATTGCCCCACATTTACCCACTGTGGGTGGAAGGGGGGTGCGCATTTGGGTGGTTCTCCGCCAGGAGTCCGGGACCAGCCGAGGGGGTCGGGTCTTGAGACTGGTAATCAAAGGAGGATTGGGCCCAGCCTAGGGTAGGTCTTCAGAACAGACCGAATCGTGGGGGGCGGGGACTCCTCGAGGCCCGCCTCCTGCTCTCCCCTCCCACCCGGCTCTGGCGCTCTGCTCACCTCGGGTGGGTGGGCTGCGGGCTGGGGAGCCAAGCGCCTGCCGCACGGCGGGACTGGGCGCACGGCCCAGACCCAGACCCCGGCGCAGGGCAGATCGCAGGCCACCCAGTTGGGCCTCCGCCGCACGACGCTGGGCCTCCACGCGGGCCAGCTCGGCCTCCAGGCCTTGTCCCCGGCCCTCGGCCGCGCTCAGCCGCAGCCCCAGCTCCGCAGCCTCGGCCCGAGCCGCCTCCAGCTTCAGCTCCAGGCTGCTGACGTGGTCCAGCTGCTGCTTCTCCGCGCTGCGTGCCTCCTCCAGGTTGCCTACCAGGCCTCGCTCGCGGGCTCGGAACTCGCCTTCTTGCTCCTGCAGCTTCCGCTGGGCTCCCTGGAGCTGGGGCAGGGGCGAAGCCCGGAGGTGAGAAGGTGAGAGCCAGCAAGGCCGTCTCCCAACCCTACATCCTGACGCCCAGGTCTAGCCTAGAGTCCCCTTTTCACCCCACCCCCCCCAAAGTGGGGAGCACAAGACCTATTCCTTTAGTGGTCTCCATCCAAGCAGGTGAGGTCCATCCACGGTGTGGGAGGGACTATTAGAATGTATCTCTTCCTTCTGTGCACATACCCACTAGTTTATTACTAGTAAACTAACAGCTAACGCTTGCATAGATAGGACTTAGCAATGGCAGGCACTAAGCACTTTCCAAAAACTATCAGCTCTGCCCTGTGAATCATCTCTAGTCCACAAATGAGGAAACTGAGGCTCAGAGCAGTGATGGAACTAGGCCAAGGCCACACTAGTAAGCCGGGAGCTAGGATTCAAGGCCAGGCACTCTGGCGCCAAGGGGCGTTCTCTGCACCGCTAGACTACGCGGCCTTTCAGAGCACACAGTTTATCAACAGGCCACACAGTGGGGGCATGTACTGAAAACTGTTTACTGATGGAGTTCATGATCTCTCTCTGTTTCTCTCTTCCTCTCTTTATCTCTCTCTCTCTCTCTCTCTCTCTCTCTCTCACACACACACACACACACACACACACACACACGCACACAGCTCTCTGGTACAGAGAATGAGTCAACTCCTCCCAGTCATCAGTGTCACTGCTACTGAGCACCGCCTGGATGCCAGGATCTCTGTGTATACCTCCCCTGCTGTGCTAGCCCCTGTGCCCTGAGTGCTCTGAAGCACAGAGAGGTTAAGTGACTCAGTCAAGGTCACCCAGTAGATTCAATGCAGTGAAACAGCCAGAAAAGACAGCGACTTTGGATTCAGACAGACCTACATGTGTGTGACCTTGGGTAGATCCCTTATCTCTCTGAGCCTCAGTGTTTGGTTCTCTCTGTAAAATGGGGCTGCTGGGAGAATCAAACAAGATTCTACCTACAGAATTCCCCCCCCACCCACCCTACTCCTGCTACACAGTTCTTGCAGTTGTTATTATTACTATTACTAGAAGCCCAGTGCACAAAATTCATGCATGCGGGGGGGGGGGGGCATCCCTCAGCCCAGCCTGAACCCTCTCCAATTCGGAACCCCTCAGGGGATGTCCGACTTCTGGTAGTCAGACATCCCTCTCACAATCCAGGACTGCTGGCTCCTAACCACTCACCTGCCTGCCTGCCTGATTACCCCTAACTACTCTGCCTGCCAGGCTGATCGCCTTAACTGCTCTCCCCTGCTAGCCTGATCCCCCTAACTGCTCTCCCCTGCCAGCTTGAACCCCCTAACTGCTCTCCCCTGCCAGCCTGGTCCTCCTAACTTCTCTCCCCTGCCAGCCTGATCGCCCCTAACTGCCTCTGCCTCGGTCCCACCACTGTGGCTTTGTCCGGAAGATGTCTGGTCTAATTAGCATAATACCCTTTTATAAGTATAGATAACTAGGGAAGATTCTTAAGCAATCGGTTAGGGACAACTGCTGGGGAGTGGTCTCAGAATGACCCCAGCACTAGAGTTCCTGCCTGCTCCTTGCAGAGGGAGGGAGGAGAGAGGCACAGAGCAGCCTGGCTGCCTCCGAGGATCCTCTCTCTCCAGGCAGCCCGCCACCCACTTAGTTACCTCCTGTCGCAAGGCCTCCAGGCTGGCCTCGCCCTTCAGCAGCTTCTGTCGGAGGCCCAGGGCTTCCCTTCGTCCCTCCTTTTCTGCCCGCTCGCCGAGTGCCAGGCGGCCCTGCAGCTCCACCAGCTCCCTGCCCAGCCTGGCGTTCTCACTGTCCAGCATCTTCATCTGTGAGAGAGTGGACACAGGTAGGACCGAGGACCCAGGCTCAGCATCCACAGCCCCGCCTGGCCCAGGGTGTTGGTGATGCTCAAAGCTTGCAGTATTATAGTTTCAGCCCCTGGTTTTACATACGGAGGGCCCTTGGCTCCAGAAAGGGGGTGCTCCTGGCTCAGGGCAGATAGCAAGTGCCCGGGGAGGGTGCCGTGTGCGGAGGGTACCTGTCGCCGCAGCTCCTGCAGCTCCCTCCGAGCCTCCAGCCGAGAGCGCTCCACCTCCTGCAGCCCGGCCCGCAGGTCCCCGGCCTCCTTGCCCATGGCCACCCGAGCCTCTTCGAGGAGCGCCAGTTTCTGCTCCTTGTCATCATTGGCCAGCTTCAGGCTGAAAAGGGCAGGGGTCAGAGGCAGCCTAGGTTCCAGGAAGAGTATAGTGTGGCTCTACACAGAAGTCCCTTCCTGTTATTCCTGGGATGGGTCCGACTGGCTCCTGGCCTGAAGGTGCCCAAGTGCTGCTTGCCCACGTGGCCCTGTCCTGAGCTGACCCCTCCGGGCTGGGCCCAGACCCTCAGCTGGGAGAGACGGACCAATGGCTGGGGTAGGGGTGCACGCACTGAGTCTCCAGGGAGATCCACCAGGTGGGGTCAGAGTCTGGACCCAACCCTGCCTGCTGCCACCTTTCCCCTTCCATCAGTGCCTGGCTTGGTTCAAGGGCAAAAACTCCCCACCTGTGCCATTTCCCCTGAACCCTGGGGGTGAAGTTAGCTTCCAGGGACAAAATTCAGTGTGAAGGTCAGGGCTCAGTGAAGGATCCGGGCTGGTCCCTCCTGTCTCCCCACCTGATCCGCTCGCTCTCGGCCTTCTTCACGGCAGCCCGCAGCTCCTCGTTGGACCGCCGCAGGGCCTCGCGCTCCTTGGCACCCTCACCCAGGCTGCGCCGCAGCTCGGCTGCCTCCTGCCGCTGGGCCTCACGGCCATCCTGGCTCTCTCGTACCTTGCGCTGGGCCTCCAGCAGCTCCCGCCGCAGCCCATCACGGGCATCCTCCAGTAGGCGCAGCTGAGTCCGAAGCTCCTCTGCCTGTGAGGACCTTGGTTGTCACTGGACAGGGGTCGGGTCCCACCCAAGCGGGACCTTGGTGGAAACCAGCCCATCCCCAGGTCCCAGGCCAGGGGGCACCTGCCCCATCCCTCTGCATAGAGTCAGACCACAGGCGAGAGTTATGATTCGGGCAAAGCAAGCTGGAGTCAGCAGTGTTTGCGTCTGAAATAATCAGGATCATCCTTGGACGATGCCAAAAGGGCAGGGACCACCTTGAGTGCCCCAGTCCCACGTGTACATCACAAGTACTTAATACATGCTTGCTGCCTCCTTTCTCAGCTGGCTGTTCATTTGCCCTTGAATGCAGGAAAGAGCCTTACATTTTTCTGGCCCCTCACTGAACCAGGCCCCCAGCAGCATGTAGGGGGTGCTGCCTGGAAGGGTGTGGGGCGGAGGGCTCACCTCGCGCACGCAGGATTCCCGCTGCCTGCCCAGGTCTCGGGCCTGCTCCTGCAGCCTCTTCACCTCCTGAGCATGGGCCGCGGCAGCCTCCTCAAGCTGGGCCCGCAGGTCCCGCAGCTCGGATGTCAGGGTGTTCATGGTGCCCTAGGACAGATGGGCTCCTCAGATGGTGCTGTGTCCCCTTCCCCAGCACCCCACTTTCAGCACCAAGCATGGCCCTTCCCGCTGGCTTGCCAGGCCCTCCGTGATCCCTTGATGCCTAGAGAGTGCTGTCTACATAACTAGTCTTTCTCAGACTAGGGGTTCCCTTGGGCAGAGCCGTGCTACCTCCCTCAGATGGGGACTCCCAGGGAAGGGCTGAAGCTTCCCACACAGTCTGGGGCTTCCCCAGGGCAGAGCCATGCCTCCCCCTCAGAAAGGGGCTCCTCCAGGCAGGGCTGTGTCTCCGGCTCAGACGGAGGCCCACCTACCCGGTCCTGCTCCTGCCGGCTCTGAGCATCTCGCTTCTGTCGCTCCATCTCCAGGGAGATGGCGGTCAGGCTGTGCTGTGTACCCACCAGTTTCTCTGACAGCGCCGTCTTCTCAGACTCCTTTAGCGACAGGGCCTGGCAGAGGCAGAGAGCGAAGGGCCTGGGGGGTTAGTTGATCTTGGGGGCATGCTTGGGCCTTCCCCCCACCCTGCCCTGGGAAACGTGCCCACTGTGGACTTGGGGGCATGACTGGGTCACCATAGGTGGACCCAGGACAGAGGTACAGGTTCACTCCTCCTAAAGCCCCAGAAAAGGATACAAGAGTAACAGTAACTGGACATGGACACAACTCATATCTCACTAACATGCTACAGCAACGCTGAAGCAGGGCCCTCCATTATTCCCACTTTACAGATGGGGAAACAGAGGCTCAAGGAGGTAAAGTGACTCGCCCAGGGTGACAGAGCTGGTGAAGAGAAGAGAAAGATGCAGTCTGCCCTGTCCTCATGACGTTATGGAAAGTCGGGAGTTAGTTCTTTTTGAGGAGGGTCAGCTGATATATGTGGGCGTTGTGGGGACTGCTCAGAAGGCAGCCATGGGGACGCCATGCCCAGCCTGGGTGGGAGGGGAGATGGGAAAACGTGGGGCAGCTTTTTTGCAACCAGTGCTCATGGTGTCACAACTGAGGCTACCACTCAGTAGGCTCCGACTGTATACCAGGCATGGCTATGGACTCCTAGCTCCTAGCTGCTGGGTGGCTAAGCGGGAACCAGCCCCAGAACCCGGGCCCCTCCAGGGCTCACGAACCTGCTGCTTCTCACTCTCAGCCAGGAGGAGGCCCTCATCCCGCTCCTGCTGCAGGGCAGCGATCTCCTCGCTCAGCTCCTCCTTCTCGGCCTCCAGCCGGGCCAGCAGCTCCTCCCGCTCCCGCTGCAGCTGACTCTGCAGTTGGGCCCGTTCCGCCTCCAGCTCCCGCCATGCTGCCTCCTGGGGGCCAGGCCCAAGCACATGTGACCCATGAGGCTGCAAGGCCACCTGTACCCCAGACCCTGAGAGACAGGTGATCAGGAAACTACAAGGTGGGTGGCTGCTAAGGGCTGTGGCTGGGACAAGCCAGGGTTGCACGAGCCCCGAGGAGCAGCAGCCCTGGTCTGGGGGTCGGAGAATGTTTCCTGGAGGAGAGACGAGTAGCAGTCAGCAGGAAAAGGGGGGGAAAGAACCTCAGGCCCAGAGTACAGCCCCAGAGATGGCCTGGAGGGAGGAGAGAGCACGGCACACAGGGAAATCATAATATGTAAGGGTCACTGGGGTGTGGACCACGAGGGGAACGTGGTGAGCAATGGGGCCAGAGCCAAGGGCAGCAACCAGGGAGGGGTGGGCTTGGCTCAGGACAGTAGGGCCAACAGAGAGCCTGAAGCCAGAGCGATGAGGAGCAATCTAAATTGTAGACTAGGGTTGTTCAGGAACTGAGAAAAAAGAACATGGATTGCAGGTAGGGGTTGAGGGGAGTTGGGTTGGCTGTGAGGAATAAAGGGGGTTTAGGGCTGCGGGTGGCAGAGTAGCAGGAAAGAGTACAGATTTGGTGACATGAAGAGGCCAAGTCAGGCGGGGCAGGGAGAGTAAAGACTGCACAGGAGTTTGCTCCTTGGGGACTGGATGGGTAGAACCCACAGGCAAAGAACGCCCCACCTAGGGTCTGAGGGCAGTGCCCGGCACCTTTGTGAAACGTCCAGTGCTTCACTGCCACCTGCTGGACAAGTGTGATACTACAGGGCCAAGGCCAAGACGACACATGGCGCCCCCTGGAGTCCTGCAGGACAGCCTGAACCTCTGACACAGGCAGCCCTGTCCACCCGAGTTCTCTCCTCCTACGTGAAAATAGCAACCAGCATTTACCCAGCATTTACAAAGTGCCAGTCACTATGTTAAGCCCTTTATATGGATTATCTCACCTCATCCTCACAATCCCCTGTGCTATCCTCACCCCTTTGTTACAGATGGGAAAATGAAGGCAGAGACCATAGGTGACATAACCAGTACAACTCATCCTGCAGTCTGGCCTAGATCAGATCCAAACCCAGGCATGTGACTCCAGAGCCAGTGTTCTTAGACAGCTCTGTTCTGTCTTGTAGTGACCTGGCCCCTCACCTATCGTACTATGTGTTCAGGTCCTAGAGTGGTCCTTCATATGCAAACAGCACTTCTTAAAAATGAAAGTGCCTTCCTGAATCAGGATCACCAGGGCTAGACCAGATCCGGGGCCTGGAATCTGTATGTTTGATACGGAGTCCCCAGTGTTTCCTCCCAGCTGCTCCCAGGGCCTCCGGAACAGAAATAAAGTTCTGTTTCACAGAGGTGGAAACCGAGGCAGAGGGAGAAGAATGACTCGCCTGAGACCACAGAGGAGATAGAGCAGAGCCCCGCCCACCCTGACCCCGCTACCCGAACCTTCTCTCGCTGGAGTCGCTGCACGTCCTCCTCGTGGGCTGCCCGCTGCTCCCGCAGAGAGGCCTGGGCCTCCCGCTCAGCCTGCACCAGCTTCTGGGCCATCAGCTCCTTGTCCAGAGCCGCCTTCTCCTCTGCCATTGTCATCTGCTGCCGGAGGCCTGCCAGTTCTCCTGCACAGGGATGGTGGGAGGGGACAGACTTGGGTCGGAACGGAACCTCCCTGTGGACCAGCAGACTCAGGCCAGGTGAGCCATGTAGGCAAAACCCCAGAGGAGAGAGGGCCCACCAGGTACCAGCTGGGTTCCCTTGGAGAAGCTCCTCACGCCCTGGGCTTCAGTTTTCCCATCTGCTGCCTGAGCCCACGGGCCCTGCCCCACCCCCTCCCTCCCTGGAATGGCATCAAAGGGATGAAATGTCTGATGGGGAGGCTCCCACAAATGGGGAGGATAGCAACCCCCATTGTGGATTGCTTACTATGGGTCATTTACAGATGAGGATATGCAGGCTCAGGGGAGACAGGCAATTTCCCAAAGCTGCACAGCTTTCCATGAGGCGTCTCCTTTAATGACTTAATTGCCATAGACAAACTAGGTGGGCTGTTAGCACTAATGGAGGGACCACGGGGAGGGTACACCCACTGTGGACAATCTAAACCCCCCCCCCCCCCCCCCGATCTTTCAGCATTTCCCTTTCTAGTTCTGTGGCTCAGGTGGACGAGGACGGGAAGATTAATTTTCATGGTCCAAGAAACCGGGTGGGGCGTGTGGGAAGTGGGGCTCGGACTGTAGGGCCGAGAGAGTCGCTCAGAAAAGCAGCGACGGCTCCACGGAGAACTCGGAACTCTCTCAGCGCCCTGATGACAATAAGCACCAGGCACCGCTGGCTGAGCCAGGAGCTGTGAGAGGCCTCAAATGCTTGCCTCACGCCTTCCTGGCAACAGCCTTAGAAAGCTGGCAATCACCTCTAACTGTCAGATGGGGAACCTGTGGCCCAGGGGGGAAGTGAATTGATCGAAAAAGCTCAGATCTAAGCGGCAGCGGCAGGATTGGAACCCAGGTCAGCCAGACTCCAAAGCCAGTGCTCCCAACTTCCGTGAGACCCCAGACCTTGACAGGTTAGTCTGGGTTAGAGTCAGGTATTCCTCACCCACCCCTTGGCCCCCCCATACCAGTCAGGGCCTCCTTGGCCAGAAGCAGGGCCTGCCCATCAGCTTCCAGCTGCTCCCGACAGGCCTCGAGCTGGGCCAGCTGCCGCTGCACCTCGAACAGGCTGCTCTCCAGGGCTTCCTTCTCCAAGCTGCAGCACACAATCCCTCAGGCCTCAGGACTCGGCCTCCTGGGCCCCAGGAAACTGTGGATCCCAGGGTGTGGCCAGCCGTGGGCCAGGTGCCAGCCTACCTGCCCAGCCGGTCCCACGCTCCCTGGGGAAGCCTGAGCTATAGCCAGGACGCATTGGCAAGCCCTGCTCCTCAGCAACTGTGTGTGGGCCAATGCCAGGGTGCGGCTGGTGGCCCCAGGCAGACCCCCGCCCACCCGCCCCAGTAGGCTGGGCAGAGCCTAAAGCCTTACCGCAGGCGTGTGGCTTCCTCCAATAGGGTTCGGCCTTCACGCTCAGCTGCCGCCAGCTGCACAGCCAAACCGGCCCGCTCCTTGGCCAGCGCCTCCTTCTCCCGGGTCGCCCGCTCCAGCGCCTCTACCTGCCGTTGTGTCTCCCGCCGTGCCTGCTCCAGCTCATGCTCCCGCCCGCTCAGCTGCCGGGAGAGCTGGCACCCACCCAGGCACTGTGAGCACCTTCCCCTCCCCCCCAGAATCCTCCAGCCTGCCCACCATGCAGGACCCCAACCCTGGGCCTGACCCAGCCCTGGCCTAACAGGCAGGAGAGCAGGGTTCAAGCCCAGTCTCCACCCTGATGTACTGTGTGTACTTGGACAAACCAGACTTCTCTGAACCTGCAACACATACACACATGAGGGTCCTCACTCAGTTTGGGTCATAACAGAACCCTTTCTACGCCCCTGACCTTCCAGAGAAGCTGAGTATATAAAACAGACAAAAGGAGTGCTGCTTTGCAGGCCTCAGAATGGGAACACGGAGCACTGCTCCCTACAGCTGTGGCCCATAGAGGCCCCTCCCAGGAGCCCCACATGCCATATAAAGGTCACTGTGTCCCTAAGACTCTAAGGTCCCTTCCAGTATGTCGTCCCAACAAGTCTCACATTCCAGTCCTAAAATTCTCCACCTATCATCCCATTGGGAATTGTTACGGGGAGGTGATTCAGCTGCCAAGTGCTTCCACGGGCGTCCTCTTCAGAACAACCCTTTGTGATAAGAACGCTTGGCCCCATGTCACAGATGGGGCGACTGAGGCATGGGGAGGTGGAGTAGTTTGCCCAAGGGCCCAGTTAGCAGAGGTGGGGCTGAACCTAAGCCCATATTCAGGCTCCTGAGCCTGCGAGTTACCCAGGACAGGTGTCGGAGGCTGGGAGGCTAGAACCCTGGCCCCACCTGCTCCCCATCCTCCATCACCCACCTGGGCCAGCTGCTCCTGCAGCCGGCAGCGCTCCTGGCGCAGTGTGGGAACCTGGTGCTCCAGAGCCTCCCGGGCCTGCTCTGCCACCCGCAAGGAGCCCTCCAGGCCCTGTCGATCCACCTCCTGCTCCAGCCGCAGCTGTTCCAGCCGCTCCTGCTCCTCCCTCGCCAGGGTGGCCTCCTGTTCCACTCGCCGCTGCTGGCCCAGCAGGGCTGCCTTTTCCTCCTCCAGCTGTGAGGCCGGTCGGGGTGGGGGTGAGTGAGCAGATCAGCCCAGCCCCTCCTCCTGGGGAAAGGGGTCCCACCCAGGACCAAGGGCCACCCGCCCACCTATCACAGACAGCCCAGGGAGGCTCCCTCGGGGAAGGGGCAGTGGACACGGGGGAGAGGGAAGAAGGGAGAAAGGTCCGCAGAACTTCTTTTCTCTCAGACCATGAAAGAGGATAGACAGACAGACAGAGTCAGAGACAGAAAGAGGCAGGCAGCGAGACAGAGAGGTGCGGGGACAGAGGTGTTCAGGGAGGTGCACAGCGAGGCAGGATGTGGGCCAAGGCTGGGCCTGAGACGTCCACTGGGGTCTCTGAGTGGGGAGCACAGGGGGGCGAGGAGGGGGACATACCTGGGCGACGAGGTGGTTCAGGCCCCGCTTGTCCTGTGCGAGGCTCTCGTTGAGGGCGCTCAGCTTGGACAAGGCGTCCCGCAGAGAGGCCTCCTCCACCCTCAGCTTGGTCATCGCGAGCTCGAGGTCCATGCGGCCAGCCTCAGCCTGCAGGGGCCAGAACGGGGCGGCCAGAGACAGTCAGGTGGGGAGAGATGGCGAGAGGGACAGAGACGGGAGCGATGGGAAAAGATGTGCAGAGACATGGAAGATGGGGAGAGGCAAGAGGGTGGGGAGAAACAAGAGACACAGAGACGGGGTGGAGGGACAAGGGAGGCGCACGGTGAGAAATCACTGCAGAGGCCAGTGTCTAGGAAGCTACATAAAAGCTGCTGCACACCGCAGAGCTGTGCAGAGCAGGGCAGAGGGCTCCCCAGAGGGGGTTCGGGGGTGGCACTGCTCAGGGCCCAGACTACAGGGAGTGGGGCAGGCACTCGCTAAGGACTGTGCCCCAGTCCTCACAGACCCCAGGCCCGTGACCAGAGATGGGCCTGGATGACCTGAACTACAGGCACTGCGCAGGAGCGTCTGGAAAAGCAGGGATGCAGCCACTAATAGAGGTGAATTCACTTATGTCTGGGGTCAGAGGTTGGTTTGTGGCCTGGGTCAAAGGTTAGCCTGAGTCCAGAAGGAAGGGTTCTGCCTGTGATCAGGGTCGGGGGTCAGCCTGAAATAGGGGTCAGTCTGTGGCCAGGGTGAGAAGGTCTGGGGCCCAGGGCGGAGGTAGGTTTCTGGTTGTGGGGCAAACAGGGACACACCTTGGTCAGCGCCTCGGCCACCTCGGCCTTCTCAGCCTGCAACATGTCCCGCTGCAGCGTGGCACAGCTCAGCGCCTCCCTCACCTCCACCAGCTCCTTCGCCAGCCCTGAGCGCTTCACCTCCAGCTGCTCTAGCTGTCTAATGCTGTGGGACAGAAGGCGGGGGGGTGCCCCTTGTCACTTCCCTGCCCTGCGTCTCCCTCAGCCAGCCAATCTGGAACAGGCTGGGGGTCAGGGCTGAGGCAGGAGCCCTGGTGGCAAGAGCCTTACCAGAAGGACAGCCAGGGTCACCGCCTTTTGGCTCTGTGACTCTGGGCCTCAGTTTTCACATCTGCAAAATGGGCCTCACGAAGTTGTTATAAGAACACATGACTTACTTAAGGATACATGAAATATGTAGGACAGTGCCTGACAGAGCTCCACAAGGGCTTTTAGAAACAAGAATAATGTACTGGCTATCATTAGGACTTATGTCTCAGAGAAGTAAACAGTGCAGTGGTTAAGAGGTTAACTCTTTAGAGTGATGGGCAGAATGCGTGGGTTCAAATCCTGGCTCTTTTACTAACTAGCTGTGACCTTAAGGAAATTATATGACTTCTCTGTGCCTCAGTTTTACCATCCATAAAATGGGGCTAATAACAGCTCCTATATCATAGAGTTGTCCTGAGGGTTAAATAAGATGATCTAATTGTTTAAAATGATATTAATACTAATATTACTGTAACTTTAATTTTAAAAAATAATGTTAATATTACTACTGGTATTTTAATTATTGTTGTTATTACCATCCACACGCTTCCTTCCTCCAGTTCTCGGATCCCAGGTAAGTGACTGTACCTCCCTGAGCCTGTTTACCGAGACAGGACTGATCAGAAGACCCTACACCGGAGGGCTTCTCAAGACGGGAGGAGGCCAGGTGCTCTCTAGCCCCCAGGGACACTGTCAGGAGCCCCAACGCCCATTCACGTGGCCTTGGCAGGGAGGCCAGGAGCTGCGCACCTCCGCTCGAGCTCCCTGCGTGCCCGCGCTCTATCCTGCTCTGTGTCCTCCTTCTCCTCCTCCAGCTGGTCCCGCTGGTGCTGCAGCTCCTCCTGTGCCACCTGTAGTTTCTCCCGCTCCTGCCGCAGCTCCTCAGCCTGCTGCTGGGCCGCCTGCAGGCTATAGGCCAGGCTGTCCTTCTCCCTGCAGGACCGGGGGTACAGGAGCTGAAGGGGATGTTGGGGCTGCTCCCATTGGGGAAAACAGCCGTGCTGCCGTCCTACACGTGAGCCACAGCCTCCGTCCTCTAAGGCACGTGCCTCCAGGAAGCCTTCCCTGACCATGCCCATGGCCAACTCATTTCATCTACCTCTCCCTGAAGCTGACTCATCCCAGCAGAGGGAACCTCCTCCCCCAAACTGCCCACTTGGGGGCTCAGTGGGACAGAGGCAGTGGCACTATCTCCACCAGGTTGAAGAGGTTAGACTCCTGAGATATGTGGGCAATTGTGCTGCCAGCTTGCTAGTCCATATGACCAGAAATGCCTCTATAACCCCCGAGCCCCCGTCTGGGAGGCCCAGTGGAGCTGGGTCTGTCCAGGTCTCAGAGCTTCCTGCTGCTCAGGCCAGCAGCACATGGTAGCCAGAGCAGGACAGGGGGAGGCAGCAACTGGGAACTCGGACAATTTGCAGGGTGTTGCCATTCTCCCAACTCCAGCAGTCACAAGCAATGGGGAGGGTGCCTCCTGAGCCAGCTGGGGTTTCCAGGTCAGGCTGGGGGCCGATGGTGGTCATATCTTTCACTGTCCTGCCTCATCGCTTCAAGCAACAACCCTTAAGCCAGCAGTTCTCAACCTGTGGGTCACAACCCCTTTGGGGGTCGAACGACCCTTTCACAGGGGTCGCCTAAGACCATGGGAAAACACATATATAATTACATATTGTTTTTGTGATTAATCATTATGCTTTCATTATGTTCAATTTGTAACAATGAAATTGGGGGTCACCATAACATGAGGAACTGTATTAAAGGGTCGCGGCATTAGGAAGGTTGAGAACCACTGCCTTAAGCATACAAGACATGACAGCTGACAGTAGGTGGAAAAACATACACCATGATAGTAAGTAAAAATAGCAGAATGCAAAGTGAGGTGTCCGTTGTGCACACAATATAAAAGCCTCTCCTTCCAAGGCACGGGCAGCATTGGTTTTGCTCAGTTCCGATTCCTATCCCGGCCACACCCCGTGAGCTTGGACAAGCCTCTCAAGCTTTGGCAGGAAGACTAATTGGAGATAATACACATAAAATGCCTGGCCACGAGCCTGGCACACAGTAGGTGTACAGGAAACGTTTGCTACCTCACTGCCAGAAAACATACACACATGGCTCGTTAGGACCATATTGGTGCAAATCTGCACGCTTCCAGGCTGAGGCTGGTGCTGGGCCCAGACACCGATTGACTCTCCGAGGCCCCCACTTCCGACCTCCCAGGCACCTGTTCAGGAGGTCGATGGCACTCCGCAGACGCTGGGCCTCGCGCTGGGCATCCTCCTGGGCCTGGGTGGCCCCATCGGTCTTGTCCCGCAGACGCTGCAGCTGGTCCTCCAGGGCACGGCGCTCACCCTCGCTGTCACCAAGCTGCTTCCGCAGTGTGCCCAGGAGGTCCTGGCTGGCCTCGTAGCGCCCACGCATGTCCTGTGGCGTGGGAACCCCTGAGTCTGGGGGAGCCACTGAGCCCTCAGGGCCCCCTGCTCCTGTGCTAGCTCCAGGGACGTACCGCAGCCTACTCGGTGGCCTAGGCCTGAGGCAGGAGAGTGGCCAGGCTTCCACTCCCTATGCTGAGCCCTCCACCTGGACTCTGCGCCTCCATCTCCCTGAGGTCCCCAGCAAACCCAGCCTAAGTACATTCCCTCCCCAGGCTCCGCCCCCAGCTGCCCAAGCCCCTCCCACTCGGGGCTCGGATTCTAACCCTGAGCTCTCAGCCACCTCCAAGAATCCTGACTCCTGTCTCAGGGCTCTGACTCCACCCTGGGATGCTCACGCTCCGCCCCCAGAACACTGGCTCCGCCCCTGGGCTGCCCAAACCCCTCCCCCAGGACGCTTGGGCCCCTTGCTACCTGGACCTGTAGCTGGCGTTTGTGCAGGGCGGAGTGGATCAGGGCGAGCACGGAGGAGTCCGAACAGGCTGGGGATGGGCCTCGGCGCGGGGAGCGACCGCGGCCGGGCGAGGAGCGCCTCGACGGGGATGGGGTCCGGGGGCCCGAGAGCCCCCGCAGACTGCCGTCTGACGCATCAGCGGTGTGCTCGGAGCCACTTAGCTGGACACCGCTCTCCATGTCGGACAGAACGGCCTGAGGGGTGGGGCAGTAGGGAGGTTAGTTGGGCAAAGACGCCCAGTAGGGGCAGAGGGGTGCAGGGGCCATGTGACTAGCTTCATCCCAAAATCTGCAGCACAGCCTAAGCTCCCTTCCAGCAAGGCTTCCTGATTCCGCTCCCGCTAGCTCACAGCCCTCAGCCCGCCAGGTGCGGCCTCCCATGTATTGGGCAGACATCTCTCGGCCTTTCTCACAGATGGGCCTGAACCTCTCGCAGGCACGACCCCAGGTTCCCCAACCACTGGCAGTTCTGGCCAAGGCCACCAGAGGAGCTGGCGGCCCTGGACAGCCTGGCCTTGCCCTGCCCAGGGCTCCCACCCTCTGGCCTCTCCCGGCTCCCTCCCACCTCACACCTGTGCCAGGTCCCTCAAGGTCTGCTGCAGCCCCTCACCCTCCTCTGTGTCCAGGGCGGGCTGCTCCTGGAGCTGCAGGGCTTCCTGGAGTCGTGGCGAAGAGACGAGGAGAGGGTGGTCAGGGTCTGTGCCCTAATCCCAAACCTACTCATTCCCTCCCTGGGCCCCACCCATCAGGCGGCCTCGAAGGCCATGGCCATAGTCCAGCCGCTGGGTCACCTCACAGCAGCCCTAAGTGCCTTGAACAGACGAGGCCCAGAGAAGTGCAGTGTCCCACCTCAGGTCACACAGCCTACTGGGGAAGAGCTGGACATAGAACAGGGCCTGGCCCTACACAGAAGGGTGACCAACCCAGGCGGCACCTTTGAGGGGTGTCCCTCGGGTGGGGAGGCAGCTGAGTTCCAAGAGAAAGAGCCCGGGACTAGCAGATTACAGGCATGAGCTCAAGTCCTGACTCCCCAGTCTGAGTCTCTGGACAAGTATTTCCCCTTGGGCCTTGGGTTTCTCATCTGTATAAGGCAGTGGTTCTCAACCTGTGGGTCGCGACCCCCTTGGCGGTCGAACGACCCTTTCACAGGGGTCGCCTAAGGCCATCCTGCATATCAGATATTTACATGACGATTCATAACAGCAGCAACATGACAGTTATGAAGTAGCAGCGAAAATAATTTTATGGTTGGGTCACAACATGAGGAACTGTATTTAAAGGGCCAGAAGGTTGAGAACCACTGGTCTAAGGGGATCCTGTTACAGGGCTGCTGAGAGGATGAAATGGGATAAGCGTTAAATGTGCTCACACCAAGCCTTGCACACACTAGATGCTCAGTTAATGAGGGTGATACAGTCTGAGTGGGAAGCTCCACGGTGGCCCAACAGCCCGGCCCTCAGCCTGTGCCCACGGGTCTGGTCAGTGCCCCATCCCGTCCTGCCACACCTCGAGGGAAGCTGCCTCTCACCAGGGCCTCAAGCTTCTCAGTGAGGGCCTTGTTGACCCGATCCTTCTCCAGGTTCTGGTTCTGAAGGCGCTCCACTGTCAGGGCCAGCTCTGTCATTCTGGAGGTGAGGGAGCAACAGAGGTGAATGGGAGACTCACCCCAGCTTGTCCTCCAACCCTCCAGCTCTGTGTCCTGCACGCTTCCCCAAACCTGAGGCAGGGACCCTAGGATTCACTTCCCTGGTGGTATGACCTTGAGCAAGTCACCTCTGTCTGTAAATGAGAATGAGGTTGCCCCCCACTTTGTCTCCTGGGGAGGCACCCTGAGACTTGTCGAGGTTGCAGGAGCTGGGAGGAAATCTGGTATCAGAGGTTGAACTGCTTGTGATGTACCCTGGGCAAGAGCCCCCTGGACCTCAGTTTCCCACTCTGCCAACAGGGTGTCTGGGAAGACTGGCTGAGCTCAAGCCCGTCCCCAGTGAACAGATCCCTCCTCCCCTGCCTCATGTGGTACCTACGGGCACCCACCTGGCATTGAAGTCGGCCTTGTCCAGGTTGCTCTGCATCTGCAGCTGGGCCAGGCCCTCCTCCTGCAGCACCTTGTCCCGCAGCTGCTCCTCCAGCTGGGCCTGCAGCAGCGCCTGCTTCTCCAGGGCTGCCTCGGCCCGGCTCTCGGCCAGCTGCAGGCCCGCGCTCAGCCCCAGGCCCGCTTCCTGGACGGCTCGTGAGGTCCGGGCCAGCTCCCCTCCCAGCTGCAGCAGATCCCTAGTGGAGAGAACACACAGCAGGGATGGGATGGCGGTGGGCTCCCAAGCGTCAATTAAAACTACACTGGGATGCCATTTGTCACCATTAGCATGGGGGGAAAGTCACATAATGCACGGTGTGGGTGAGGCTGTGGGAAAACAGACCCTCCCCCACACTGCTGGGAGGGCAACCACAGCTGAGGGCAGTTAGAAAGCGCTCTGAAAACGACTAACTGATGGGCTCTTTGTGACCCACCAACTCCACTTCTAAGAATTTATCCTACAGAGATGCCTCAACACATGGGAGATGGCCTGTGTATAAAGTGATGCCCTGCAGCAGGCTCAGGCCAAAAATGCTGGTGCAACCTAAATGGCCATCAAAAGGACTGCTCTTAAACACAACATGACACATCCTTTCTGTGGGATATCTGTAGCCGAGAAAAACGAATGGGGAAGCTCTTCAGAGCCTGAAATGGAGCCACTCCCACTGAAACTCGGAACTATTCGGCGAAGAAAGCATCAAGCCCTGGCTGCTATCCTGGTTGGTTGGAGCGTCTCCCCAATGCACCAAGGTTTCGGATTCAATCCCCGTCAGGGCACATACAAGAATCAACCAATGAATGCATAAATGGGTGAAACAGCAAATCGATGTCTCTCTCTCTCTAAAATAAATGAAGAAAAAAAAAGCACCTTCAAGAACTGCAAAGATGAAATTCTAACAAGAATATATAAAAGGGTGTGTGTGTGTGTGTGTGTGTGTGTGTGTGAGAGAGAGAGAGAGAGAGAGAGAGAGAGAGAGAGAGATCTGCTGTATTTGCTTGTATAAAAGAAGCCTGAAGGCATATTGCTTGCCTCCAGGAGGGAGAGGAGAGGAGTGTCTGAAGCCAGGGATGGGAGGGGGCCTTTTGAAATTGGAATTTGTGAATATATAAATTATTCAAAAGTAAAATATTAGGTCCTGGCCAGTGTGGCTTGGTTGGTTGGAGCGTCCTCCCAGACACCGAAAGTTGGCAGGTTCGATTCCCAGATAAGGCACATGATCCCCGGTTAGGGCACGTGCAGGAGGCACCCCAATCGATGCTTCTCTCTCTCTTTCCCTTCCTCTCTCTAAAATCAAATTTTTTAAAAGTAAAATTTTAAATGCTAATTAAAAATAGAGCATACTTTAAATACATCAAATGGGTTAAATCCTCTCGTTTCCTGAATGACCGGTACCACTGGGTGTCTAACGCAAGGAGAGGAGGTGACTCATTACGGAAGAATCCCAGCTGAGACAGGAAGGAGTGACGGGAGATGATCACAATCTTGCAGCCCTGGTGAATGCCTGGGCTTGGCACTGAGCATCTGAGGCTGCCGGTGCACAGAGACACCCAGGCATTCGGGGCCTCCCGATGAAAGAGCGCCCAGCACTTACGAAGAAGTCTTGTAAAAAAACCCAAAGAAACAAACAAACAAAAAAAACCCCTGAACCTGAATCTGATCAAGCTTTAAATCCAACATCCAGTTTACAAGAACCACAGGGGACAAAGGTGTTAAATGACACCACAGAATCCAGACTGTGGGAAACTTCGGACAACTGTCCCAGTTTCCTGAACAAATAACAGAGATTAAAGGACAAATCAGTCCATCGCATTTTGTGAACATCTACGGGTCCTGATTCAAACACACTGTCAGGACGAGCAGTGAAGCAAACCATCTGTGACATTGATGAGTCCACTGGGAATCTGGACACACTTAATATTTGATATTTTAACAAAAGATCATTAAATACATTTTTAATGTAAAAAGGGAAAAAATTGGTCTCCCTGTCTCTGGGCTCTCTCCACAGCCTCACCTGCTCAGCCCAAGCAGGACCGAGCCCCCTGCCGGAACACGCCAGTCTCCTCCAGCCCCCTGCTAGCCCGCTCTGTTCACCTGCCTCTCTCTCCAACCTCCGCACCCCCCCCCCCCCCAGTGTCATTTCTCCCGCCTCCACGCCTTTGCTCAGGCTGTATACTCTGCCTGGAGTGCCCCAGCTCTGCCAGTTAAAATCCCACCCATCCCTGAGGTCAGTGCAAATTCCACCTCCTCTATGAAGCGTCTTTCTGACCCTCCCATCCTTGTGAGAATTGAGGACATTCTCTGTTCCACTTTCATGTCACTGACCACTCACTTCCTTGGTCTAGAATTTGGGTGTGGGGGGGTTCTATTTCCTTTTATCACTAGAGGTGGTAAGGTCCTTGGTAGTAGAAGCTGAATATTCTAGTGGATTAAAAGCAGTTGTCAATCCTGACTCAGCCACTTACCACCATGTGACCTTGGAAAGGTCATTCTACCTCTCTGAGCCTCAATGTCCTCATCTGTAAAATGGGAAATATTACTATTCCTACTTCACAGAGATGCTGGAAATGAGATGGAATGAAATGTACAAAGAGCCTAGCTCAGAGGAAATACCTAGTAAATGTTGACTGTCACGATCATAATAAGAGTTCATTATTATAGTTGCTTCTGCATCTCCAAGGGCCTGCCCCGCAGTAGGTGTATTGGGTTGGACAGAAGTTCAACTGAGTTGAGCTGAATTCAACTTAAAAAGTGGGTGCCCCTCCAAGCCAGTGTGGCTCAGTGGATAGAGCATCGGCCTGCGGACTGAAGGGTCCCAGGCTGGATTCCGGTCAAGGGCACACGCCTGGGTTGTGGGCTCGATCTCCAATGGGGGTCGTGCAGAAAGCAGCCGATCAATGATTCTCTCTCATCATTGATGTTTCTATCTCTCTCTCCCTCTCCCTTTCTGTCCGAAATCAATAAAAATATTTTTTAAAAAAAGAAAGAAAAATGATGTTTTTAAAAAAAAAAGTGGGTGCCCCCCAGTGCTGCTGCAGCACCTCCCCACGTCACCCCTCCGCCAGCCGGGCCTCACCTCTCGGTAAACATCTTCACCTCGCTGACCAGCCGCCGGACGCCCACAACCTGCCTCCAGAGGAGGAGCAGGCGGCTGTGCTCGCTGCTGAAGTAGGCGTTGAAGGACTGGAGGGAAGACAGGGGGAGTGAGGGGCTGCGGGGAGGGCCACCCGCTCTGCCCCAGCTCTGACCATCCTGGGAGGCACTGTTGCCCAGGGAGGGGGTCTTCCTGGTGGGTCAGGTCTGGGCCTGCACACAGGGCTGTGTCGAAACTGTCAGCCTCTCACTGCCAAGCCTCCCTCTGGCACTGGAAAACGGGTTTCAATGGCCCTGCAGTCCCAAGAGGCAGCGAGAAGGGCAGAGAGTGCTGGCTCTGAGGTTTGCACCCCAGCCGCATGGCCAGGCAGGTTACTAACCTCTCTTTAAAATGAGGACGACAGCCCTGGCCAGTTTGGCTCAGTGGATAGAGCGTCAGCCTGTGGACTCAAGGGTCCCAGGTTCGATTCTGGTCAAGAGCATGTACCTTGGTTGCGGGCACATCCCCAGTGGGGAGTGTGCAGGAGGCAGCTGATCGATGTTTCTAACTCTCTATCCCTCTCCCTTCCTCTCTGTAAAAAGTCAATAAAAATATATTTAAAAAATAAATAAATAAAATAAAATGAGGACGACAGCACCTACCATGCTCAGTTACTCTGAGAAATAGGGAAGAAATGAATACTCAGCACATGGAATGTGCAATCAAGGCCAACTATGATTATGACAACTATTTACCTCTCCTAAAGGGCTTATGTGGCCAGCAGGGCCTCCCGCTCCTTCTCCCGAAGCCCGAGTCCTCTCCACTCTACAAAGACGCTTCCCCTTGGCTCAGGCTGGACCCACCAGGCCCCACTGGCCTCCCAGAACCCTGTGCCCACCTCCTCCTCACGCCTCCACGCCACCTCCCGTTGCTCCAGCTCCTTCCGACTGCGTGTCCAGTCACTGGTCACCTTGCGTATGTCCTCTCTCAGAGCCTGATTGGCTGAGCTCGCCTGGTCCAGCTGCTCTCGGAGCATAGCGTTCACCTGGGCCAGGCTGCTGCTCCTGGGTGGGACAAAGAGGGACCAATGGGCTCATGGCTGGAGAGGACCGCCCTGCCAGCCATCTTCTCTTCCTGCTGGGTGCCCCACCTCTGCTGCTCCTCCTCCAGGCGGATGAGGGCGCTCTCCAGGTCTCTGCTGTGCTCTGCGTCCTGGGTGGGAGAAGTGGGCATCAGGTTGGGCACGAGGAGGAAAGGGCCTGCCCTGCCCTGCCCTGCCCTGGCACCCACCCTCAGCCGCTGTTGCTCCAGCTCTGTGGATCTCTCCAACAGCTGCTGCTCCAGCTCTGAGTCCTTCTTCTTGTACTGGAGAATCTGGGGATGGGTGGTGAGCAATGGTTAGCCCCAGGGGGTGGGGGCAGGGCAGAGTGAGCAAGCACATTGGGTAGGCAGGAGCAGGAGTGGGCGGCCCTGACCTTGGCCTGCAGCCGTTGCACGAGCTGGGCTTGCCGCTGCTGGCCCTCCTGGTAGGCCTGCAGCTTTCGCCGGTAGGAGGCCTGCTCCTCCTGCAGCTGCCTCCGCAGCTCCACGCTCTGCCGTACCAGCCCCCTGGGCTCCTGTGTTTCCAGCTCCCCAGACTCCAGCCGCACAGCCTGCTCCAGCTGCAGGGAAGGGCCCTGGGTGAGAGTCCTCCGTCTCCAGGGAAGGCAGACACAGGCCTTTGCAGGGAGCACCAGGCTGGGCCCAGACCCACAATGCCTTGCAGGCACATTTGGGCAAGCCTGGATGCAATGCACATATGCATGGCCTAAGGCAGCCATGCATGGACACACAGACAGGGCATGCATGGACACACAAACATATGCATGCAAAACACAAAGAAGACGCACCTGGGGTAAACCTTAGAGGCCCTGGTGCACTGTGAGCCTCTCTTCCAAAGCGACTAACCCCACTGTGGTTGATGATTCTTAGATCCGTGCCCACGTCTTCCCACCCCAAACCCAAGTGAGCTCAGGAAAGCCTGTTGTTCCCATTGTATCTTAAGCCTACAGCAGTGTTAGTGGCATGTTCATTGAGATCATGAATTAATGGCATAAGCACATGTGAATACATTCAAACAGAGGCATCAATGCATGCCTACTGAGCTTAGAGACATGCACACACATAAGGCACACAGGCGGTGTCAAACATCCCCAGGGTGACACAGATGAACTCCCCGGCCTGTCCCCACTCCCTCACAGGCAGCACTCAGATTTGTAAGAGGTGCACACGCATGTTCTATACCGTGTGGCTTCTTAATGCCTGAGCCCCGGCCCGGCCTCAGGCTCCCACCTCTCCCTGACCTCATGGGAAGCCTCTGCTGCCAGCGCCCTTCCTTCACCCCTAGGTGCCTTGCAGCCGCTCCATCGTCAGGCCCTGTAGGCATAGGAAGGAGGCCTGCCTGGCTCTGGCTGCTCCAATAGCCTTAGAACCCTCTATCCTCCTTAGGCACCTGCTGGTCCCAGGGGGCCCCTCAGACTCCACCTGTGGGGGAAGCAACTGAGATTGAGTGGGACTAACAGGAGCGACAGTGCCCAGAGCGAGCCAACAGGAAGACAGCCCAGCCCAGTGGACTCTGGCACCAGCCCACACTCACCGTCTACAGCCTGGGCAGGGCATTCACACGTCCACCCACGCCCAGTCCCAGGGAAGCCAACGGCAAAGACAGCTGCTCACCCCACACTAATAATGGGGCCAGGTTAGTGGCAGGTGCCGGTTCCCTCCAGCTGTTCCCTGCACTGATCCAGTGCGCCCAGGACATGCTTAAGGAGCCACTGAAAAAGCTGGAAACAACTTCCTCTCTGCCTCCCCGCTCCCCGCAAGGACAGCACTGGGGCAGGCTGACTGTGGCCACTGGAGCCACCCACAGGGAGGGGCTGGTGGGGGCTTCAAGTTGGGGGAACAACTCGGTCTGAAGGTGTGGGAGGAGGTGGTATGCAGGTCTCTATGAAGGCTGGGCTGCAGGCCTGTGACCAGTGTCTGCAAGCCGTCCACCTCAGTCAGGGGACCAGCAGTGTCCACATCCGAGTGTGCCGGCGGTGGCACTGAAATGCTGTGTGTTGTGCCTCGATGCAGGTGCATCTCACGGGGGTGAGTGGGGAGTATTTTGTCATTTGTCTCCACCTGGGACCCTGAGCGTCTCCGTGTCTAGGCCTTCGGGGGACCTGAGAGAGGGGGTGTCTGTGGTCGCAGGTCTACATTGTGGTGCAGGTGGGTAACCGTGTGTTCACATGTTTGTGAGTTGGAGCGTGTGTCTGGGCTCTGAGTGTCTGTGATGTGTGTGTCGGTGACTGTTCTCTGTGCTGACCTTTGGCTGTGTGTGTCCACAACATGTGAGACAATGTGTTGTATTGTGCGCAGGATGGATACATCACTGCTGTGACTGTGCACCTGTGTGAGACATGCCACACCTGGGTGGGACGGGGTGGTGTCTGGCCGTGGCTGCGGATTCTGCTGTGGTGTGTTTGTGCATTTGTGTATGTCTGTGTGGGTCTGACTGGCCTGTGCTGTGTGTTTTACACAGGCGTTTGGGCCAGGCGCTATCTGCTTCTGTGATTTAGAGGGGCTCAGGCGGTCGTCAGGTATTCCACTTGCTTCCCCAGTGCTCAGAGCCAGGCCCGGGTCACTCCCAACCATACCTCGCCCCTTTCCACCAACTTCACCCTCACAAAACAGCCTTTCAATTTTACTAGTAATTCAAAAGGAGAGAAGGGTATCAGCAAGCCAGGGATGAAAGAAGTTTACAGTCTCCCCTAGCAACCATTGCCCTAGGACCGTTATTATTCGAGTCACTCTATCCAGGTTGCCATGGACACAGGGAGCCCAGGGGGCCCATTCTGTAGAATCCAGGGGGCCATTCCCTCCTTCCCATCCCAGCTGCCTCACCCAACACCTGCTCCTCAGGGACAGGAAGAATGGGGTGGGGGTGGGGGGCTCCACAGGGAGTTTAAGGGCCTCCTTCTGAACTTAGAAGTGGCTGCTGGGAACCCTTTGCCTGTCTCCCTACATGCAATCAACAGGACACAAATCCCTACCTCACCTCCACTCTCTTTTCCCAGGGATGCTGTGGCCCGCCAACCTAGCCCACATGCAACAGTTACGGCCACAGGGGCAAGCCTGCCACCTGCAGTGTGGGGACAAGGCGGCAGCAGGGACCGACAGTGCCACAGGCCCCCGGAGCCCAGACCAGGGGCCTCACCCCAGCTCCACCACTGACCCTGGGCCCATCACACTCATTTCTGGGTCTGTTCCCCACCTGCGATAGATGATCGCCAGGCTCTGATGTTCTCTGTGACCCATGCAGCCCCCGGAAAAGGCCTGGAGGTCATGCTCATGCAATCCCTGCCTCCGGGGGGTTGAGGGGGGCACTGACACCATCTCCCCGAGGACAGTCAAGCACCAGGTTCATTCTACAAGTTACTCGGGGTCTTCCCGGCCACATGGTGGAATTTTCTAGACTTAACGCAGACCCCTACTCCCGTGCTGAGGCCCCAGCCCCAGCAGCCGTGTCCTAGTAGAAAAAAGAACCTGTCGCCTGTCCCCTCTTCTTCCCTTCTCCTTCCAGCCATGGGGGCAGTGCTGACTTCATTGTCAGCCAGAACCTGGCATTTAAGAGGCAGCCCCCCATGAGCCTGGCAGCGTGCCAGGGGCCAAAGGATGAGAGGCCTAAACTGGGAGGGGGTTGGCTCAGGGCCCCATCATCACCGACAATGTGGAACTGGAGCCCGTTGGCCCTCCACACCCCCTGCAAACCTTGGGAAGACCGGCTCTGAGCTATCCCCAGGGCTGGGGGCCTGCTCCCTGCAAGTCCCAACAAGTCAGGGGCCTGTCCGGGCGGGCAGACACCAGGACACCGGCACAGCCTACAGCCACACTCAGAACTGCTCAGCCCTCTTCCCTGCAGGGGTGTGCAAACCCCCGCATGAGCAGGTCGGCGCAGGGGTCCTGGTACCACACAGGGGACCCTGAGCAGCTTCAGTCTCCCATTTGCAACATCAGAACGTCAAGGCTGAGGTCCTTCCAGCCTCCCAGGGGCCAGCTGCCGCCTGGCACTCCCAGCCCAACTGACTCTTCCCACCCCCAAGAAACAAAGCGGTAATGCAGAGCCCTGGGCTGGGAGTCGAGAGACTAGCATTAATTGGCGGTGTGACCCCAAGCACAGTGCCTTCCCTCTCTGAGCCTCCATTATCTCCTCTGTTAATGAGCATCACCATGGTCCCACCCTTGGTGCATTACATGTAAAGCACCCAGCACCTGCTGGCCAGTAGGCATTCGATAAATGGTGGCTGCTATTACGACTGTTAGTAATACGCATGCATTTTCCATCTACACACATTCTCCTTCCCTCACGCAACTCTTCCACCACTTTCAGCCACCACCAACTCCCCAGGGTCACCTCCTAGGAGTCTGGAGGTCCAGAGAAGACAGTGTACAGAGGACAACCTGCACCTCTGGCCCTGGCTACACCAGCCTCCTGGCCAGGCCCTGGGACCCCCGTAAGCCTGAGGCACAGGTTCCCAGGGGAAGTGAACCCGTCTGGACTTGGAGGCAGGCCTGGCTTCTCCTGCCATGGCTGGGCCTCACCCCCACGGGGAGTGTGGCTGCCTGTGCTTACCCAGGTCTTGCCGCAGAGCCCAGCCACTGTTGGGTGAAGTCCCAAACCCATCCCCACTATAGAAAACAGACTCAGAGCTGGGCCGGCATGGCTCAGTGGTTGAGCGTCAACCAATGAACCAGGAGGTCAGGGCTCGATTCCCAGTCAGGGCACATGCCTGGGTTGCTGGCTCAATCCCCAGTGTGGGGCATTCAGGGGGGAGCCGATCAATGATTCTCTCTCATCATCGATGTTTCTATCTCTCTCTCCCTCTCCCTTCCTCTCTGAAATCAATTTTAAACAAGAAAAGAACCCGAACCGGTTTGGCTCAGTGGATAGAGCGTCAGCCTGCAGACTGAAGGGTCCCAGGTTCAATTCCGGTCAAGGGCATGTACCTTGGTTGCGGGCACATCCCCAGTCGGGGGCGTGCAGGAGGCAGCTGATCGATGTTTCTCTCTCATAGATGTTTCTAACTCTCTATCCCTCTCCCTTCTTCTCTGTAAAAAAATCAATAAAATATATATTTAAAAAAAGAAAGAAAAGAAAACAGACTCCAAGAGCAGAGTGATTTGCTCAAGGCCATCCAAGTTGGCTGAGCCACAGTTCGAACCCAGGCCGGCCTGAGTCCAGGGGCACCTTTTTGGCCAGCGTGCAGGCCTGCCCTGGACATCTCCCTGACCTCACATCAGGGAGCAGCTGGCTCAGCTCTCAGCCCCCAGGCAGCACCCACCCTCTCGCTGACCGCGTTGTACTTGATGGCCAGCTCATCACGCTCGGCCCGGCTCTGGGCCAGCAGGTCCTCCACGCGGGACAACTCCTGCTGCAGCAACTGGTTCTCCTCCTGCAGCGACAGCATTGATGCCATCTCTGTGGCCGACAGCAGGGCTGGAGAGGGACAGCAGGCATGTGGTTAGCTTCCAGCTGGGTCCAGGGGGACATCTTCCCTTTCCCCTCCAGGTGCCCTACCCATCAGTGGAGGCAGGAAGATGGACCAGGGCCCAGCACCAGGTCACACAAACAGAGAACAGGAAGGTGGGCAAAGCCACGGGCCTAGGGCTAGGCTTAGAGTGGACACAACTACAGCTGAAGTGTGGCCCCAGTCGGCCCAGGAGGTACAGTAAGGAGGCTCATTAGGAGTCAGGAGACTAGGCCCCAAGTTCTAGCTCCTTCCTTCTGCACCTACTACTATTCTCTGGATCTCAGTTTTTCAGATCTGTAAAATGGGTGGAACAGTAACCAGACCCAGGAGAGCAGGTAACTTCTGAGACCAGGGCTCAGGTTGGTCAGGTTGTAAGGAAGAAAAGGAGGAAGTAGAGGAAAAAAGGACAGGCCACAGGGAAAAGGAACCCCATTTTGTGGGCTCCCTTCCACCTGATGGAACTGGACATATGCCATAGGCCTCTCGGCTCTCTAAGTCCCTGTCTGTGGCTCCCAGGGGCCCCAAGGAGGCTGAGGTTAGACAAGGACCATGGCAGGAACACCAGGAACACCCCCAAGGAGAGCTGCAACCTCCAGCTGGGACTGAGTGTGCCCTCCCAGGCTCTCAAACCGTGTATTTGGTGTGAGTTCCACCCACCAGAAGGAGCAGGGGCCCATCAGCCTTCCTGGGGGGCAAGGGGGAGAAGGGAGATGGACAGTACCACCCCCCCCCCTTGGATTTCTATAAAGCCCTGAGCTAAGCTGAACTGCCCGCCCCCCCTTATAATCTCGGGTTCAGCCAGCTCACACTTCCCTGGGAGAGAATATGGCGTTTGGGGTTTAAGTCTTTGCAGCAAGGAGGGGGTGCTCAGCCCTGCCTTTTAGCAGCAAAACATGGGGAACACATCGGGGCAAATTACATCTCTAAGCCTCCATTTCCTCATCTGTAAAATGGGTGTACCTGCCTCCCAGTAGGGAGACATGGAAGCTGCAGTCATTATTGTTGTCATGACTACTGAGCAGGGGCTGTGAGAAGAGGGAGGATGTGGGCAGTGGCTGTGCAGGGGAGAGGCAGGATGGTACCTGGGCTCTCAGGCTTGGAGAAGTTTCGGGTGACGATTTCCCTGAGGAGAGCAGGCAGGTGGGCGGGCTGACAGTCCTGGGCCGGGTCCTGCACACTCAGGCCGGTCTCCTGACCCGGCCCCAGGACGCTGCTCTCCAGTGTCTGCGGGGAAAGAGAGGGTCTGAGGGAAACCTGGGAGGACCCTGGGCTCTGTGGCCTGAGTGGGAAGGAGGAAAATTCTGTCGCCTAAAATGTGGGTGCCCAGGAGACCGTCAGGAAATCCCCCAAATGGGTAGAAGCCTGGGAGTTAGAATCGCAAAAACCGCCCCCAGGAAGGACACGCTTGTGTGCCTCCTGCCAGGAAAGGAGGCTCCTCCAGGGCCAGAGAACCAAACCCCACAGCTGGCTCCAACCCAGCTCCAACCCAGCTAGGTGAGGACCCCCCTGTACGTGCCAGCAGAAGTCACCCTAACCCCAAAATCTGGGAGGAGGGACCCCCATCCTCCGCAGGGCACTGGGATAAGGGAGCCACAGCAGTTGAGCCCTGCATACCCCTCTACCCTGAGTCCAGTCAGGCTGGGGGTGCAAACTGGAGCCCCTGTGCACTTCACCACCACACCTCTCCCACCACGGGACCCCCAAGATGCATCCACTCCTCACCGCTCCTTCCAGGGCAACTGGATGGGGTGGGCACAGCCCGCAGGACCCACCTGGATAACGGTCTCCAGTGCCAGCTGGGCCTCCAATGACACCCCCAGCCCCAAGCTCATGGGGGGAGGCTGCGGGCACCCCTCTCCAGGCCCTTCTCCCAGGCCCCAGACTAGCTTAGTCCACACAGCCCACCCCACAGCCAGACTGCAGTGCTGAGCACTGGGCAGATTAGGCTCTAATCCGTGCCCCCATGTGACCACCGGGTGGGAGGGGTGAGGGGGGGAGGGGAGGGGAAAGCAGAGGAGGGGAGGGAAGGGAGGCAGAAGGGAACAGAAGGAAGACTTAGGATATCGAGGGGGAGGGGAGTGGAGAGGGGAAGGGGTGGGGGAGAAAGGAAAGGGAAAGAATGGAGTGGGGGGAAGGGTAGGGAAGGGAGGGGAGGGACCATGAGGAAAGGACTCTCAACACACACACACACACACACACACACACACACACACACACACGCTCCCCAACTGCTGGGTCCTAGAGCCCTCCAAGCTCAGGGGACGGAGTCAGCATCCAGGACACAGAAAAGGCCAGAGTTTTCCAGTTTTTTAAGAATGTACAGGGGTGGGCAAAACTAGGTTCAGCTCTGAGTACAGAAAGCACAGAGCTGCCCTGGTCGGGTCCTCAATTAGTCTGGTGTCACCCTGTACACCAAAAGGTGGTGGGTTTGATTCCTGGTCACGGCACATACCCAGGTTGCCAGTTCAATCTCCGGTCAGGGTGCACGCAGGAGGCAACCGATAGGATGTTTTTCTCTCATGTGAATATGTGTTTCTTTCTCTCTCTCTCTCTTGTCTCTCGCACTTCAAATCAATAAAAACATTTTAAAAAAATCCTCCATGAGGAATTGTGCGTCTCCTTGCTTGCCCACCAGCTAGAAGGAAATAATGTTGAGGTCCCAAGGCCAGAGCCACCAGCTGGAAGGGGTCTGGGTCACCATGTGGAAAGCCACCTGCCAAATACTCAGCAGGGCTTTTCACGAGCAAGAAATTAATTCCTGTTGTGGTGAGCCTTAGAGATTTCCGGGTTTTACTATCAGCTAGTAATATCTTTTTTAAAAAGAATATATTTTTATTGCTTTCAGAGAAGAAGGGAGAGGGAGAGAGAAATAGAAACATCAATGATGAGAAAGAATCATTGATTGGCTGCCTCCTGCAGGCCCCACACTGGGGATGGAGCCTGCAACCCAGGCATGTGCCCTGACTGGGAATCAAACCGTGACCTCTCGGTTCCTAGATCAATGCTCAACCACTGAGCCGCACTGGCTGGGCTCAGCTAGTAATATCTTAATCACTACACACTGTTAAATAGTGGACAAGTGTTAGCTATGGTCTGTGTTATCCTTACTATCACTAGTATTACTGTCTTCCCAGCACCCAAACTAGACCCTGTGCCTGGTACACAGTAGACCCTCAGCCATTTTTTTGTAGGTCTAGAGATAAGAACTAGCAAAAAAATCAATCAAGGATTACTCATGAGTTTCAAGCCCACGTATCCCTTTTTTATTCTCCGGCTGCTGGCTAGAAATTATAACAAAAATACTGAACCAACCATGATCCAGGCCCTGTTCCCAAAACTCTGCATCTGTACTAACATTCTTGGCAGCCCTGTGATGTGACACTGTTCTACCCACTTTACAACTGACAACACTAAGGCTCAGTGAGTGAAGTTAAGTAACTTGCTCAAAGTCACCCATCCATGAAGGGCTAAAGCCAGCAGACAAGGTAAGACCCAGGTATGCCGGGAGGGTGGGGGGAAGGGGGAGAGATCAACCAAAGGACTTTGATATGCATGCATGTAAGGATAACCAATGGACACAGACACTAGGGGGGTGAGGGCATGAGCAGGGGAGGTGGAGGGCAATGGGGGGATAAGGACACACATGTAATACCTTAATCAATAAAGAAAATACAAATAAAAAAAAAGCTTAACGGGGGTTGGGGGTAGGGGCTGGGGAGGACCCAGTTATGCCTGGTTCCAAAGTTTTAAACAAAAAACAACCATGGCTACTATGTGTAGTGCTTACAGTGTGCCAGGCACCACCCTCGGTCTCTGGTGTGTGGTATTAAAAAAGCCATCTCGCCCTAGCTGGTTTGGCTCAGTGGATAGAGCAGTGATGGCGAACCTTTTGAGCTCGGCGTGTCGGCATTTTGAAAAACCCTAACTTAACTCTGGTGCGGTGTCACATATAGAAATTTTTTGATATTTGCAACCATGGTAAAACAAAGATTTATATTTCTGATATTTATTTTATATATTTAAATGCCATTTAACAAAGAAAAATCAACCCAAAAAATGAGTTCGCGTGTCACCTCTGACACGCGTGTCATAGGTTCGCCATCACTGGGATAGAACATCAGCCTGCAGACCAAAGAGTCCTGGGTTCAATTCCAGTCAAGGGCATGTACCTCGGTTGCAGACCCCTCCCAGGCTTGGGTCCGGTTAGGCTCATGCAGGAGGCAACCAGTGTGTTCCTCTCACGTAGATATTTCTGTCTTCCCCTCTTTCTTCCACTCTTTCTAAAAATCAATGGAAAACCACCCTCGGGTGAGGATTAAAAAACAACAACCCACCTCTTGCTTGGACTGCTGAGATGGCTCCTCAGAGCTCTCCCTGCTTGCTCTCTCGTCCCCTACCTCAGTCTACTCCTACACTATCAAGATCGAGCCCCTCTTCTATTCACCCCACACCCTACAGGCTCCCCATCCAACGGCCTCCTAACACATTTAAAATAAAATTCAAAGTCCTGCCACAGCAAACAGGCCTGCCCGATCTGGCCCGGGTCCACCTCTCCCATATCACCTCCTTCTCTCTCCCCCTGCTTGTCCTACCTACTCCAGCCCTGCTGGCCTTTATATACATATATATATATTTTAATTGATTTTTTAAAGAGAGAAAGGGGATAGAGAGTTAGAAACATCGATGAGAGAGAAACATCAATCAGCTGCCTCCTGTACAACCAAGGTACATGCCCTTGACCGGAATCGAACCCGGGACCCTTCAGTCCACAGGCCGACGCTCTATCCACTGAGCCAAACCAGTTAGGGCTCTGCTGGCCTTCTTGATTCTCAAACACACCAGACCAGTGGTCGGCAAACTGCGGCTCGCGGGCCAGATGCGGCTCTTTGGCCCCTTGAGTGTGGCTCTTCCACAAAATACCACGTGCAGGCGTGCATGTACAGTGCGATTGAAACTTCGTGGCCCATGCGCAGAAGTCGGTATTTTGTGGAAGAGCCACATTCAAGGGGCCAAAGAGCTGCATGTGGCTCGCGAGCGGCACTTTGCCGACCACTGCACCAGACAGTCTCCTACCTCAGGGCCTCTGCACCTGCCATTTTCACTGCCTGGAATGCTCTTCTCTCTGCCTTGCACGGCTGACTCCTGCTTGTCAACCAAATCTTGGCTCAAAAATGTCACCTCTGCCTGGCTGGTGTGGCTCAATGGTTGAGTATCCACCTATGAACCAGGAGGTCATTGTTCAGTGTGCCCTGACCAGGTTGCAGACTCAATTCCCAGCAGGAGACATGCAGGCGGCAGCCTATCCACGATTCTCTCTCATTGATGTTTCTATCTCTTTCTCTCTCTAAAATCAATAAAAATATTTTTTTTAAAAAAAGAAACAATACCCATGGGCTTTAGCAAGATCACACTGGGCAAGTCTTGGCCAAGGGTGAGGCTGCCCCCAGCCTGGGATCTGGGAAGGACCTACAATGCACACATATCCAACACCTGCTGCGTCCCAGGAGCCGGGGGCAAAACCCAGGCAGTGCCCGCCTCTCCCCCACAGGATCCCTGGGTGGGAGGGGTGCCTAGTCTCCAGGAGGGGTGCCCATCCCCAGGCTGGACAGAGACGGGACAGGGGGAGCCCGTCTACCCTTAACCTCTGGTCTGCTCCTGGTTTATTTATTAAGCAACTGCTGTGAGCCCCGCTAAGGAAAAGAGGAAATCTCAGATGAAAACCGACACCAGGTACTCTCGTGGGACCTCCCGAGTGTCCCATCCTCCGTCCAGACAAGTGCTGGCTTCAGAGGGAGCTGGGGAGCCCGGCCACCACAGGGCCGGCAGAGCACTGTCCTCGAGCGTCTGCGTAAAAATCACGCGGGGCCCGTTCAAAATGCCAACCACAGAGACTGGCACGGGGGCCTCAGGCCCCACTTTGAGAAACCCAAGGAGTGGAGGCCCAAATCCCGGCACGGGCCGTGTCGTCTAGGGCAACCCAGTTGACCGCCCTGGGCCTCAGTTTCCTCATCCCGAAAATGGAGCCACGTCCGACTCCCAGGGCTGCACCGCCGGTGAAAGGACATCCCGCACCGCGCCCGGCCCGCAGGCGGCGCAGGAAGGGACGTGCTGTTCGCGGTGACCGTGAGGAAGGGTCTCCTACCGCAGCTCTGCCCCGGGGAGCGAGGAGAAGCCCGCAGCGGAGGGGCGCTCGCTGGGCGCCCGCAGGCCGCCGCGCCCGCAGGCCCTGCCTCCTCCCGCCCAGCCCGGCCCGCGAGGCCCGGGCGGGATCGGAGCGGGACGCGGCAGGATGTCCGCAGGGCCCGCGGCGCGCGCTCGGGCCGCCGGGCTGGCGGCGGCGGGTGCAGCGAGCGCGCCCTGAGCGCCCCGGGCCCGGGACGCGGCTCCAGCCCGCCCGTGCGCGCGGCCGCCTTCCCGCCCTCCGCGCGCCGCCGCCTCCCCGCCCTCCGCGCGCCGCCGCCTCCCCGCCCTCCGCGCGCCGCCGCCTCCCCGCCCTCCGCGCGCCGCCGCCGCCCGCGGCCCCGCCCACGCGCCGCCGCCTCCACTCGCGCCGCGCACCCCGCGTGCCCGCGACTCTGGCCCGCGGGAGCGCGCGCAGACCGACCCTACCTTCGCGCGCCGCCGCCGCCGCCGCCGCGGAGTCCAAGCGGAGCCCGCCGGGAGGGGGGGCGGGACGGGGGAGGGCGGGGGGCGGAGTCTGCTCCCGACCCTTCCGCCTCCCCGCTTCCCGGAGCCCCCGCGACCCAGGGCGCGCCAGAGGGCGGGGTCGGGGGGCGGGGGCGAGGTCGCCGCCGGCTGCCCCCGGGTCTGTCTATAGAGCGTTTACTTGGGGCGGGCACTTGCTGAGGGCTCTTCATCGGTCGCATTCACTGCTTCCCACAACGCAGCAAACTGGGATTATTAGCTCTTTTGCATAAAAGGGAAACTGAAGATTAAGCAAGTGGAGCAGCGTCCCGCAGCTGCAAGGTGGCAGAGCAGAAGGAACCCACAGCCAGCTGCAAAGTCCCACTGCGGCCTTGGTCTCGGCTCCTGCTTCCTGGCCTTAGACTAAGCTCTGGCCTCAACCAATCGCCCAAGCAGCCTGAGGAGCATTCCCTCCCGCCCGCCCCCCTCGGAGCCCAGTGTAGCAATACTGAGGCTCCAATAACTTGACCTGCAGGGAGAACGTCTTTGTTTTCCTGATTGTCCCGCAACCTTGGATGAGGGCCTCTGGCCTCAGTTTGTTTATCTGTGAAATGGAACCCCATCTGCTGCCCCTTCCTTCTCACAAACTCATGTGCCAACTGGAATGGGATAAAGCCGAGCGGAAACCTTGCTTTAGAGGACTAAACTGTGTCGTTTCTATTTGGAACAATACATTAGGCTCTACCTGCCTACCTCTGTTCTTGAAGGCAAATCATCCACTTCAAAAGTGTAGGCTGGTCTGCAACTCTCCGGCTGAGGGAGGGAGGGAGGGCTGTGCTTTGCTTGAAAACGGAAGTTGAATTTTATGATTTTGTGTTTGGAAAACAGTAAATACCCAGAAAGAACAGTAGCAGGCCTGTGGCTGATGGTTCTGTCTTTCCCTGTTGCAGGGCGACCAGGAGTTAATCTTTGTCAAAGAGGAGCCTGCTTTTTACATCTGAGAAACCACGCTAGGGGCTGCCAGTGTGCCCTTGGGGCTAGCTGCCAGTGTGCCCTTGGGGCTCTGTGACCTAGGGATGGCGCAGGCAAGGCTGTGGCCTGGGCCAGGGCAGAGAGAGCTGTTCCTCAGGGAGATTTGGTTCAACCCCTGGGGCTTGGAGTATGGAGGGGTGCGAGGTTAGGAGGTTTCTCTGGCTCAGCCAAGGGGGGGCTGACTGGCCTCTGCCAGTAGGCCCCACCAGCCCCCAGGTGCCCCAGCATGGCCCAGGTCTGTGCCAACCTGTCTGGTGCCCCCTGACCTGCTGGGTCCCTACCCAGGCCCCAACGGGCTCATGACCTCACCAGTCCGCTTCTGATCCTGCCTGGCCCTGCAGGGCCCTCATTCCAGAGTGTTCCTCATCGCACCAGGAACCCATCCTTGCCCCTCCCTCCAGAATGCCTGCGAGATGCCTGGGCCTACCGGGCCCTCTCCGTCAGGCCTCCCTTGGTGAATAGTCCCTGCCCCTCACAGGCAGCCTCTACTGGCTGGTACCACACTGTGCGGCTGCTTCCTCTTACATTTTCTCACTCTGTCCTCAGTCCCCCTGCACATTTCTGCAAAGCAGGACCTATGCTGCAAAGCGGGTTCTAGGATTATTTCCATTTTACAGGCGAGGAGACCGAGACTCAGAGAGGAGCAGTCACTTGCCCAGGGACACACAGCAGGAGTTTCGGGGGCTTCCAAGCCATCTTTCCTATAATCACATGAGATTTTTGGAGGGCAGCAGACACGGCTCCTTTCTCCGTGACCCTCCTACCTCCAGAGCCCAAGGAGGCTCCTGCTGGGAGGCAGGTCCTTTCACCAGCCTCCCCCTTGGGAGGCTTCCCGATGCTGGGGCTGGGTCCCCGGTTGTGCTGACTCAGTGCTTCAGCTCAGCCTGCCTTATGGTCATTTGAATCCCCAGGGCCGCTGCCCGCCAGTCACCCTGCCCCATAACCAGGTGGTGCCCAGTCCAGCGACCCCCGGACCAACTACCAAGAAGGGAGGTGTGCTGGGTACTCACCTGCTCACCGCAGTGGATTCTAAATCTGCAACTCAGGTAACTGGGAAGCAAGTGACAGAGTTACTCCCCCAGGTTGCTCGGGCCAAGAGCCTGCCTAATCCGGGCGCTAAGCGGGGTTGGACTCTGCCCACCATCAGCAAAACCACATTAACCCGGAGGCTTCGAGTTCAGGCGTTCCGGTTAACTGGATTTGATGGATAGCTTATTTTATTTTAGAGAGACAGAGGAAGGGGGAAGAGTGAGAGAGAGAGAGACATTGATTTGTCGTTCCACTTGTTTATGCATTCATTGGTTGATTCTTGTACGTGCCCTGACTGGGGATCGAACCCGCAATCATAGTGTATAGGCATGATGCTCTAACCCACCAAGCGACCCGCTGGGCGGCGTGCTGCAGAATTTTAGTAATTAGTTTGTGTGCCATGAGATGAAAAAGGTTGAAAATCACGGACCTATGGAATAAAGACCCCCCCTTGGCCTGTCATTCAACACCTGCCATATTATTGCTTTAATCCACGTGGAGGGAATGGGAACTTCCACGTATTAAGCAGGTCGTATGTGCCAGCCCTGTGGGCAGCACCGCTCAAGTATATCAACTTGATTAGAAGCACGGATGCTAGAGCCAGACTGCTTGGGTTCCAATCCCACCTCTGCCACTTAGTAACTATGTGACTGGGCAAATTACATAATCTAACCCTCCCTCAGTCTCATAATTTGTAAAACTGGGATGATGAAATGAGTTTTATGTTGAGTGCACAGAACAGGGACTAGCACAGAGTAAGCATTATACAATCGCTACTATCCACGTAAAGGTGATTCAGACCAAACTATATGATGGGCACCTGCTAGCACTTTATATGCCTCATCTGAGTGACACTTGGGTTAAGGAAGGAGTCTGTGGCCACACATCTAACCAGGAGACAGCCTAGACCCGTGGTCGGCAAACTGTGGCTCGCGAGCTACATGCGGCTCTTTGGCCTCTTGACTGTGGCTCTTTCTAAGCCTTAGGAGTACCCTAATTAAGTTAATAACAATGTACCTACCTATATAGTTTAAGTTTAAAAAATTTGGCTCTCAAAAGAAATGTCAATCGTTGTACTGTTGATATTTGGCTCTATTGACTAATGAGTTTGCCGACCACTGGCCTAGACCCAAAGCCCAGATCTGTCTCCAGAACCCAAGTGCTTACCTTTGATGGTCTGTACTGCTAACGAAGAAGGGATCCCCCTAGGTCTAAACTTCCTCATTCTCAGCTTCCAAGCATGTAGAAAAATGGGAAGTGAGCCCTAACCGGTTTGGCTCAGTGGATAGAGTGTCGGCCTGCGGACTGAAGGGTCCCAGGTTCGATTCTGGTCAAGGGCATGTGCCTTGGTTGCAGGCACATCCCCAGTAAGGGGTGTGCAGGAAGCAGCTGATCGATGTTTCTCTCTCATCGATGTTTCTAACTCTCTATCCCTCTCCTTCCTCTCTTCAAAAAAAAAATTAATATTTAAAAAAAAAAAAATGGGCCGAAACCGGTTTGGCTCAGCGGATAGAGCGTCGGCTTGCGGACTGAAAGGTCCCAGGTTCGATTCCGGTCAAGGGCATGTACCTGGGTTGCGGGCACATCCCCAGTAGGAGATGTGCAGGAGGCAGCTGATCGATGTTTCTCTCTCATCGATGTTTCTAACTCTCTATCTCTCTCCCTTCCTCTCTGTGAAAAATCAATAAAATATAAAAAAAAAAAAAAAAAATGGGAAGTGATGGGAAATAGACAAAGCTTTCTCCTCCTTAGAGTCCATTGATGCAATTTCCTTATCCTTATTCATTGGGCACGAGGATCCTCAATTCTACTTTTCTTTGTTCTCCCTATACTAAGTGGTTATTTCCATAATAAGAAATAACAACTACATTGTTTTTACAGAACCCTCAGGAAAAAGTGCCATGGCCTTTTTGAACTTTATTTTTTTACCTCCGTATGCCTGTATGCCCTTAGTATTTAGGGAGATGCTTCCACAGGGAGGTCATGGTGGGCCAGGGCCCCTGCCCATGTTAGGAGGCAAGGAGACCAGAATGTCCCAGGATGGCAAAAAGGTTATACTCTTATAGATGCACGGGGAAGAAGGGACTGGTTACCTTAGAGCAACAGGGCCCAAGTCTCTCACTTTGGCCAACCTGAGACCCTGGCCCAGACTTTAATCTGTACACATGATCAATGGGGAACGGTGGTTGTGAGCTAGTCCTAGCATCCTGGACGGTTTAGGGGCCATGCCCCAAGAACAGGTTTGCCTTAGACATACATTGACAGAAGTAAAAATATTTATTTATTTATCTTAGAAAACTGGCCCCAGAAAATGGCCAATACTTTTTTCAGTTCATCATCTTGACCCTTCACAAGAGAAATCTTTTCATCAAGAGGTAAAGAATGTTGATAAAAGCAATTTTAGAGGTGTGCTCAGATAAAATTATTTTATATAAACCAGCAATACAGGCAAAACTAAAGTTCAGTCTGAGCTCTGTCATGTACAGTCCATGAAGGAGAAAAGACAGTAAGAGGTTGTCTGCAAACAAGGCCCTTAAGAAACCAGAAAACTCCAGTCCACCAGGAACTGCACCGTGAGCCTGGGAACCCCCCGAGTTGCCAGGAAGGCTGAACCCCCACCTTCAAGAGAGCAGCTTCCACTTTCCTGCCCAAACACCGTTCCACCTGGCTTCCAGCGCCTGCCTCGGCTCTGCACTGCCTACCTGACCTGGGAGACAGGAAACCAGGACACGTGGCTGAGATGAACGCCGCTGCCTGAAGCTCAGGGCAGCACCTGCGGCCCACGGTGAGGAATGTGTTCAGATGCCCTTCCGGGGCACACTGCAGGAACGGTTCCTTTTGCAAAGGTAAAAGTTAGTGCAGATCAGCCCATGAGCAAAGCAAATATTAAAAATTCTAGAAAGCTGGTTAATGCTCCCAATTTCCCTTCTGACTGTCTGTTCAAGCTGCAGCCTATAACCTGCTAGAAGCCAGAAGGAAGCCCTCCTCTGAAGGCGCCTTGCCGGAAGGGGCTGCAGCCAGCGGGAGTGCAGAAAGCTCCCCTGCGCACAGGGATCCCGAGGCACCGGTAAACCCCGAGAAGGGCTCATCTGAATCCAGGCAGCACACTGAATCCCTTCTTTTGCTTTTGGGGGCTTGTGTTTATTACAGGTCACTGTGGTGGAAGTAGTCGTCTCGGTCTCTCACGTCAGAGGGCAGCAGGGATAGGGATCCTGGAGCTTGTCTTCTCGTGTTCTGGCTGCACAATTAAGTCCCAGGAGCAGTGTGACATGGTGACAATTTACTGCCTAACGGCTCAGTCTGTCAAGAGAGTCAGGCAAGGAAGAGAGGAGAGAGCCATGCTCCAAACAGAGGCTGGCCAGGGAGTGCTTCGTCTTCCTTCCTTCGGCCCAGATGAGGCAGCTCCTTCCCAGAAGCTGTGTGAGGATTAAGAAGAGTTGTGCTCAGCTCAGAACTGGACCCAGTCGGTGCCTGGCTGAGTCTGGCTGGAAGTTGCCCTGTGAAGGGAAGACAGGGAGGGGTAAGAGGGTTTAGATGTTTGAAACTACAAAGCAGATAACAAGTGGCTTCTCTCTGGACAATGAGAGCTCCATCAGTAAGTTGCCACATTTCTGCCATCTTCTCAAGAAGTCAGCTCTGAATATTCTAGAGCAGAGGTCAGTAAACTGGAGCTCGGGACCAAATCTGCCCCCCTTATTTTACAAATAAAGTTTTATTGGTACATAGCCATTCATTTACATATTGTCTGTGGCTGCCTTTGAGCTGGAAGAGCAGAATGGAGTAGCTGAAACAGAGACAAGATGGCCGGCAAATTCTAAACTATTTGCTATCTAGTCCTTCACAGAAAATGTGTGCTGACTCCTGTCCTAGAGCCTGGAGCAGTAGGATTTTAGCACCTTTTCATCCCGACCCCAGGTAAAGGCTTGAAATGTTATGGGGTCAGAGAGGCATAAGGATGGGCCTCAGGGGTCCCAGAAGGAGAGGCCAAGGCTAGAAGCCAGGTTAATTCTCAGTGCAGTGCTCTGGGCGGGCTGGGCCAGGAGGGAAGGAGGAGGTGCTGGGAACAAGCCAAAGCACTTGATGAGGGAGTGTGGAGGCCAGAAAGAACTGCAGGAGGCGGCTCCAGGCCACCTAGCAGAGGAGCAACAAAAAGCCTTCCTGGAGGGAGATGCGCCACCCATGCGGGTGCTCTGGGCTCTGTCCCACCAGAGAATGTGACTCCTCACCCTGTGGATTTTGCAAAGTCTCCCCAGATGTCGGCGGTGGCAGTAGTGGCAGGCGTGGGCTGCGGCCAGGACACAGTGGCGCCTCCTACTGATGTGGCCAAGTCCGATGGGTAGGAAGAGAAGAGGAGACAGGAGTCAGAGATCTTTCTGGTTTTCTCAGTGACCCTGAAATCAGTCTCATGATTCCAAGTGGCTGAGAAGGACACACACAGAGACGTGCTTTTGGGCAACTAAACATCAACAAGTTGCCACATTTCTACCATCTTCTCATGAGCCCTTGAGGGCTCCTGGAGAAAAAGCAGAAAGCCACATACAAGGTGGAGGGGAGGGGTGCCAGTGAGGGCGGGTCACACACCATCTGTCACACATATCTGAAGTTGACCCTATTTTTTAACAGTTTATATTGAAAATCTGTTTAAAATTTACCCTTTCACCCTGGCAGGCATGGTTCACTGGTTGGGGTATCGGCCTGTGTACTGGAGGGTCATGGGCTCGATTCCCAGTTAGCATGTACCTGGTTGCAGGTTCGGTCCCTGCCCCCCATTGGGGTGCATGTGAGTGAATCAATTGATGTATCTCTCTCACATCGATGTTTCTCTCTGTCTCCCTCCCCTTCCACTCTCTAGAAATCAATGGAAAAAATATCCTCACTACTCGGGTATTAAAAAAAAAAGAGTACCATCTCCTGCCCTGGCTTCTTGAATGGAAAATGCCCACCCAAACTGCAAGATCATCTTCACACAAAGCCCTCAGTCCACTGTCGGGATCATCCAGCTAAGACAACTGTGTGTCAGACATGTGCCAAGTCCTGAGAGCTAAACTGATTAGGGGTCGGGAGAGCCATCCAGAAAAGGCACCACAGAAGCTGCTATCTGTGCACCTCTTTGCCGAGGTGGGTGGCACAATGGGGCCTCAGTGCCTGCTTTTGTGCGTTTTAGGCACCTCCCTGGACAGTGCTGCCAACTGTCCCTGTGCCTGCCATCCTCTGCCTTCCCACCAATCTGTTATTTCTAATCTGCTCTGGGCTGAGACCAGATAAAACTCAGGCCCTCAACGGTTTAGTTTTATAGTTCACCACATGCTTAACATCCCTTATCTCCTCGGAACCTCACCACAGTGCCTGGGGAAGACTCGCCAGGACCAGCTGTATGACTTTACGCAGGCCACTAACTCTCAGTTCCTTACGTCTGAAATGGAGACAGAACAGTGACAGAACAGGACTGTCTAAGGATTAAATAAGCTAATTTATATGGAATGCTGAGAACAGGCCCAGCACAGTGACAATAACATTAGTAAAATGGGGCTAACAAATGTGAGCACTTACCATGTTCATAAGGGACATCACATTTGATCGCTACAAGAGACCTATATTGTAGGTATCATTACTACCCCATCCTACAGATGAGAAGACTGGGGCACAGAGAAGTGGCAGTTTTCTGAATATCACACTACTGATAAGCTAGAATTTGAACTCAGCCAGTCTGGTTTTGGAGCATACAGTAAATGCTCAGTAAATATCAGCTAGTCATGACTCTTATCATCCCACACCATTTAGTTTGTAGACATGCTAATTGCCTTTTGTTCACATCAGCACAAAAACCCTTGACAGCAGGGACTTGGTGTTATACTCACAGTATCCCCAGGGCCTAAAATGCTACCTGGCACATAGCAGGTTCTTCATGTAATCTGCTAAAAAGGCACCAGCAACCGAGGGAAAGCCTAAGACAGTGGCTCCCAGACCTCAGTGCACACACAAATAACATTAAGAACGCAGATTCTTGCCGAAACCGGTTTGGCTCAGTGGATAGAGCGTCGGCCTGCGGACTGAAGGGTCCCAGGTTCGATTCTGGTGAAGGGCATGTACCTTGGTTGCGGGCACATCCCCAGTGGGAGGTGTGCAGGAGGCAGCTGATCGATGTTTCTCTCTCATCGATGTTTCTAACTATCTCTCTCCCTTCCTCTCTGTAAAAAAATCAATGGAATATATTTTAAAAAAAACAAAAAACAAAAAAGAACGCAGATTCCTGGCCCCGCCCCCAGCAATGCCCAGGCAGGTGGTACTGTGACCTCACTGAGAACCAATGCTGAAAGAATAATCCCTGGGGCGGGGCAGGGGGCTCGCTGCCTGCTGCTCCCGCCACTTCCTGGGCTGGGTGTTCCCCAAAGGGCTGAAGTTGGAAGCCTGACCTCCAGATAGGGCAGCCAACGTCCACGAGCCTGGGATGGAAAGAAAACAGGCTTCCTGCCTGATCCTGCCTCCAGGCTGGTGGGCAGTGTGTGGAGAAAGTGGGCTGGTAACAATCACCCAGCCGGGGGCCGGCCAGGGCATCAGGCAGGGTGGGGAGGCTGGGCTGGGAGGCCAGCACTAGGTACTAACTTCTGGAATTCCGGGGTCTCTAGAAGGCATTCCTTACATCCTGGAACACGCACCACACAGCTTGCTGGGGGGACTGCCTCTCAGCTTCTCAGCACCCCGACGGCCTTGCTCCAAACGAAATGTCCAATTTCATTTCTCACCACTCACCTTGGCGCTCCTGTGCTGCATCCACCTCCCTCAATATACCAGGTGTTTAAAAGTCTGAGCCTTTCGGCTCTTCTCTCTGAATGGAGTCCCAAGTGTTCCCTACCCCAATCTCCTTCCTTCAGGGCCCGGCTCAATGTGACCTGTCTCGTGAAGCCGCCCCCCATCCTGAGGGCTGGCAGTGACTCCTGTCTCCTACTAGCTCTCAGTGCCCTATGAGCACAGACTGTGTCTCCATCACCCACTCACTCAATACTCACTGAGCAGCCTCGGAGAATCAGGGACCATGTGATGCCTTCACAAATGAGTTGAAGTCCCTGCCCACCAGGGAAGGACAGACAAGACACCGTAAGAGTAAGTGGTGGGAATCAGGGGAACAGAGGAATCCTATACCCAGTGTGGACAGGATCAGCTATGCTGTGCTCACCTTCCTGCTGGTCACATACAGCTACTAAACGACAGATCAATGAGTGAAGGAAGGAAAATCAGCTGCCAGCAGGAAGAGGAACCCACAGGCACAGACTTGGCAGCAAGTACAATCACCCCCAAGCACTGACCTGAACCGGGAGCAACTGCTGGCTGGGCGAGGGACCCCTCTACAGAAAACTGCTCCCCAGGGGGAGGGATGAGGGTGGAGGGTTTCGCCCCCGGGGGAGGGGGCAGCAGGCTCAGTCCTCCTGTGCTGGCGGGCCGTGCTCGGGGAGTCCCAGCGGCTCCTTCCTTCTTCTTCATGTTCTAAAGAGAGGAGAAGAATGTGAACCAGTCAGTTCTGCTGGAGCCCCACCGCTATCAGAAAACCCCACAAGGAGGGCCAGGTGACCCCAGTCCCAAACGTGTAAAACCAACAGATAGATGGTCAAGACCCGTCCAGCACTTCCATTGTTACGAGATGTATTCAACGCCTCACAATTCTAAAGTTCTCACAAACACATTTAATTTTAACACCTGAAATTATAAATCATCGAAAAAGGCAAAATCAAACATACTATGATACACCATTATGTACCCACCAGAATGGCTAAAACATAGAACATAACTACTGACAAGGGTATGGAGCAACCAGAAGACTCATACTAGTACAGTGCCGTGGCTGGTGTGGCTCAGTTGATTGCTGGTCAGGGCACATGCCCGCATTGCAGGCTTGATCTCAGGTAGGGGGCATGCAAGAGGCAGCTGATCGATGTTTCTCTCTCTTTCCCTCTCTCTCTAAAAATCAATAAAAATATTAAAAAATAAAAAAAGAGCATTCATACGCTGCTGGTGGGAGTATCCAGTGGGTAAATGCCTTTGAGAAACTGTAGAAAGTGGGGCACCTGAAGTGATGTCCCTGCAATTCCCCTCAGACACACCCCCAACAGAAATGACCACGTCGGGGCCCCGAGAGACATGCACTGGAACATTCTTAGCAGCACTATTTGTAATGGCCCCAAACTGGAAGCTACCCAAACGTCCACCATCAGTTAAAGGGGTAAGTCATTGGATACATTCTCACAATGGGATATGCCACCACAATGAATGATTCATGCAACAGTGTGGAGGCCTCGCAAATACATCAGTAAAAGAAAGAAGTTGTACACAATAGGGTACAGAGTGTATGACTCAATTAATAAAAGTTGAAAACAAAATTCAGGGTATTCGGTCAGGCAGTGGTTACTCAAGGTAGGTAGTTACTAGGAAGAGCAGGAGAGGGGCGTACAGGGCGCTGATAACCTGCTTCTTGATCTGGAGGCGGGCCTGTGTGGGTAAATTCCGGTTTTAAAAATTCACTGAGCTCTGCACTTTTCTGTATGTGTATCGTACTTCAATAAAACATTAAAAAAAGCAAAAATCTGAGCACCAAGCGTGAGCCAGAAATCTGGAGGAGTTACAAGGATGAAGACGACCTGGATCCCTACTTGTAAGGAAAGCAGCAGCTTAGTCAAATGCTACGACCACAGCCCCAAGTCAAAAGCCCTCAGAGCTCAGTGTGAGTCCAGCGAGGCTGGCTGTTTCTGGCTCTAGGACCCTGGGCAAGTCCTGTAACCTCTCCAAGACCCCGTTTCCTCGCCTGTAAAAGGAGAAAATATTTAATTCATGAGAAAGTGCCTGAAAACACTACCTGGCACACAGCTGCTCAGTTATGTTAGTTTCCTCCCAGCAAGAGAGAGAATCACACCCCACCAGTCCACTGCATTTTCTTTAAGGGCCAGATAACTCCAAGGTCCCAAATCATCACTAGCACGAAGCAGAGGAGAGGAGAAAGAGACAGTAAGTCAAGAGGAAGAGCATTATTTTAGGGTTACAAAGGTTCTTCAAAATCAAATCCACGTGGTCCTTGGTTCCCCCAAATTATTTCAACTCCGCCCCCGTAGTCGATCAAGGCCAAGTCTTGGCAACCTAGCCAGTCCAATAGCAACTAGTAGGGAAAAGCCAGAAGCAGGGCAGCTCAGGACAGAGACACAGAGAGCCAGGACCACACCACCAGCAGAAGGTACCCACGACCCCCTGTGCCCATCCTGATGTCTTCCTGCCCACAGCACCCCCAAAGCTTCCTTACTCAAGGGGTAAGGCCAAGACGCAGCTTGAAATGGGCACACTGACCCCCCACTGTAACAGCCAGGACAAAATTCCCAGCTCTGGCAACGAGTGACGGATATTCCTTCTCAACGCAAAGGCTTTGCACATGCTGTTCCCTCCTCTGGAGTCACCCTTTGACCCTTCCTCCCTTCTTTACAGGTCACTTCTTCCAGGAAGCCTTCCAAGAATCTCGCAACTCTGGGCTACATACACACCTTTCCTTTAGGAGCTCATGGCACTGAGGACATCCCTAGGTCATAGAGCCTCTCCAGCCACGTTGTACTCACATCTTGACTTGCCCGTCTCAACTCTACTTGAGAGGACAGCAGGGCCCTCTCATTCACCCCCACGTGTCACTGGCACAAGGTAGCTGCTCCATAAACATCTGCGGGCTGACGAGCTGAATTGTGAGAAAGAGCGATGGGCTCTGGGCTGGGCTCAGTGCGGTGGCCACCAGTATCATCTGGTCATGGCCAATACAGCCAAGCAAGGGTGGGACTCACCGCAATGTTGAGCTTGATGGTCTGGCCTTCCTTGAAGCCTAGGTCCAATTTGGGGCCTTGGTCTGGGTTCTGGGCTTGTTTTGCAAATTCAAATTGCTGTTTCACCCACCTGGGGGAGGAAGGCACAGGTGAGGAAAAGACCGGCTGCTCTGCATCCACACACTCACTTCACCACCACCTGCCATCAGTCCAGGACGAGGCTTTTATTGCAGCAGATGGTAGAGGAACGCAGGCTGGGGAGTGAGGCCTGAATTCAAATCCCGCCTGTGACACTTAAGTAGTTGCATGCATATCAGTTTCCACATCAGCAAAATGGGTTGAACAGTCTATGTCTTAAAGCCTGTTATAAGAATTCAATGAGATTACTTATGTAGAGTGTCCTAACGCTGGTCTTCAATCTGAGAACTTGGCCCTCTACGCCCCAGCACTTGGCATGAGAACTAAGATAAGGATTCCACTCCTCGCCCCACCCCAGGGCTCATAAAGCAGATGGTGAGACACGACAGAGGCTAGGTAGGAGAGAGCAACACAAAGGTCTTCCATAAAACGCCCATCCACAGCCACCCGGGGCAAGGGCCCCAGCACAGGGAAGAGCCAGAGAGGCCTGCTTGTGAGCAGCCACACGCTCCCCACTGGCTGGAAGCCAGAGGCGGAGGCCTGCGGAAGGCAGGAAGCAGTCTCTCTGCCCTGCCCTTGAGCTTCAGAAAGGACCACCGGGGCACCTGTTGGGTGGCCTGGGAATCCAAGCACCACTTAGCATATCAGAGCAACAGGCCCAGAAAAGCCACAGGAACCTGACAAAGACTGGCTGCTCAGGGGCTTATAAGGGAAGAAAGGTGACCCCCCTCAAAGTCTAGGCAGCGGAATGAGGTGGCAGAAATGGGCCTGAGGAAAAGAACATGACTTCAAAGCAGAGAGGAGGCCTGGAAGGATGCAGAGAAGCCGGCCTGTCCCAGAAGAGAAGTGAGTTGTCCTGAGGCTCTGCTGGAAGACAAACCGCACACCACCACCTGGGATCCTAACCTGGGAAATCATTCTGTCCAGGGAGCAGGGAGGAGGCATGAGCACGTGAGTCCCGAACCACTCACTTGAAATGGTCCTGCAATGCAACGTTGAAGTCAAAGGCATCACCTCGGTCCCCAAAGCCAAGTCCAATGAACGCCCGTCGTCCTAGAGGAGGACACGTGATCAGTCCCACGTAGAGCAGAGAAACCTTTCTCACGAGGAGGAAGCACCGAGACCCTCACGTACCATTTTCATCTTCGATGCGGATAACGAAGTACCTGCTGGAATCCGTCACGCTCTCCACGGCTGTGCCAGGAAACTGATCCACTGGGGCCTGAGCAAAGAGCTCCCCTGAAAGCACAAGTTAGGGTGAGCCCTGAGCCCACTCCAACCTGATGTTCCTATATCCCACTGGGGCCTTTTCCCTGTGAGGCAGATGGGCAAACCTTACTCTGGGATTCAAATCAAATCCATTCTGGCTGACGGGAAGACATAGAAATAGAACTAACGAAAGGTTTAAGTCAGATGCGGTTTAGTTTTAGTATTTCTCATTTAACCATTCCATCTGGCCACCTGTTCCATCTGTCTTACACAGTTACATACCTGCCTGCACCCTGAGGGCCCTGGGACAGGTATATCACACCTTCGGAAAAGACCTGGTACCTGACGCAAGACTGGAGAGGAGCCAGGGAACCCAGTGGAAATGAGGGAGAAAGTTCTTGCACCCATAGAAGAACCTGAAGCAGGCCGATTTAGTCTCAGAGACAGAGCAAGAGGGACTGGTTTTAAAAGGAGCCCTGGTGAAATGCAGCCCCGTGTCAACTACAGCTCTCCGGGGTGCAGTGCAACACACACTTCTGTGAGCATTTATGACTGGCATCATTTCCCCGTGTGCTGATCTTTGTTGGTGCTTTAAATATTGAGCCAAATATTTTCTACTGAAACCTGTGGTTTAGAGGTGACTGCAATCCAGGGTGAGCTGAATCAGAATCTGTGGGCCCAGAGTCTGCGGCTTCTGGTTCATTTCTCTGCCCCACCCGTTTGGTACCGGGGCATCCGGGACTCACCTGGATGTCTTCAACCTGGAGCAGTGGTTCTCAATCAGGGATAGTTTTACCTCCCTTTCCCCCAAGGGACTTCTGGCAATGTCTGGAGATATTTTTGGTTGTCACAACTTTGGGGGTAGGGGAACTACTGGCATGTAGTTGGTAGAGGCCAGGGATATTGTTAAATAACTTAAATCTGACTTGACAGACCACAACACTCTCCTGGCCCCAAATGCCACTAGTGCTGAGGCTGAGAATCCTTGGCCGAGTGACTGGAAAGCGAGAGTCAAACATGACCCAGTAGGCATGACGCCAAGCTAAGAGCATCCTGGGTGAGGCTTGATCCTGAGCAGTGACTGGCTATTACATTAGGTGGTTCCCTTAAAGTCAGTTCCCAAGGGAACAGGTGTTCCATTCCCTTGTGACACCACCTGGCACACCCCAGCAAATCTCACAGCCAGAGTTCTCTGGCCTGGCCATGGCAGCTGTCTCCTCTACCTCCTCTGCAGACAATACTCACCCAGCCAACCCCACGCTCTAGTTCACACAGCAATTGGATGGGTTTCCAAGAAGCTGGTGAAGTAGGAACTAATGCGATCCCTATTTCCACAAAAAGGCAGCCAAGGCACCAGAGGTCATGTGACTCGTCCAAGGTCCCACAGCTCAGACACAAATGACACAGTTCTGAGAATTCACTTGCCTAGGAGTCTCTGCACTTTATGCCACTGCACGAAGAAAAATTTCTACATATTAGAAAAACAGACGACCGAATGTCGAGGCACCTGACTGAGCAGGCAGTGCCCGATTCCTGCTCTGGGGGCTGGGCTATTCCAGGCCGGACTGCCCTCCACAGCCCACCCGGAGGCACTGGTGGCACAGGGCTTCCGGAGCGATTTCCCCAAAGTGGCACCTGCCAGCTGACCCCAACACCGCCCAGCCTGGCTCGTCCTCTCACCACAGAAAGAGCTAAGGAGGCAGTTCCAGCTCTTTCAGTTAATGGGCGTGGTTGGTCTGGGGAGTCACCATTTAGTCGGCAAACAGAATTCTTAGGCAGCAGAGCTCAGCGGCAAAGGGCTGTGTCTTCACCCAGCGTGTCTCAAGGCAACCTCTAGGCGTTCCCACTTGGGACCAACCTGTAGGTCTCCTCTCCTTGGGCTCCAAAATTAGTATTTTCTTAAGGACCCCCCCAAAAGAACAGGTGCTTGGCAAGAAATGCCCCCTGTGGTGCTTGTGGACAGTGGCTACTACAATTAAAGGTTAAAGGTGAGGGAATGGAGGAGGCTTCACGGTGCGCTCTGGTCTTTGATTTCCACGACAGGTCCCCATGACCCCCGAGAGGCCTCATCAGGCCGGGGCTGCCTCTCCCTTCGCAGAGTGGCAGGCATGGCGCCTCAGCCCCGAGCAGGCTCCCCTGCCTTTACCTGAGGTCCTGTCCTCCAGCTTGATGTAGGCCACCTGCCCTTTTGCAGTGATCCGCAGCCGGCCACTCCATGACGGCTGGTCCAGCTGCCACTCCGCAGCCCTAAGGGGACAAAAACCACTGAGCCTCTGCCAGAGGCTCCCGCTCCATCGCTCAGTGCCGGGGGTGGGGGTGGGAAGGGCATGTGGGCTGCTCGCTCTAGACCAGGGGTTGGCGAACTTGCTCTAAAAGTGCCACACAACCTGTCACAACTGCTCTGCCATTTAACCGTGAGACAGCCATACCCAGTACATGGCGTATTGGTGCTCGAAGGGTAGTAACCAAATGGCCTGAGTGTGGCTGTATTTCAGGGACATTTTGTTAACATCGAAATCTGAATTTCATATAATTTATAATTTTCACATCATGAAACAGTCTTCTTAAAAAACTCCCCCAACTATTTAAAAACGGAAAAACCATTCTTAGCTTGTGAGCCATACAAAACACAGTGGCTCTCAGTGTGCTGACCTTGGTTCTAGATTAGAGACCTTCTCTAAGGAAGGACTTCCAGTTTTCTTTCCGTAGAGGAAGTAGCTCCTGGGACCTGTTTGTTTAGGAAGGACATTGCTAGGCTGTGGTGGTCAGAGTGACCATGTGGGATCACTGAGACCAACTTGGGAAAAAAGTAGAGAGGGGAGCAATCATTAGCAGAGAAAAGGAGAGCAGGAGAATATCCACATGAGAAAAGTGAGTGGATGTTGAAGAAACATTCCAAAGGCATCCTGGACAGGAAGAAACCCAGGGTGCGGCTCGGTGGCGGAGCGTTGAACCATGAACCAGGCGGTCCCGGTTCCATTCCCGCTCAGGGCACATGCCAGGGTTGCCAGCTCCTACCCCAGTAAGGGGCGTGCAGGAGGCAGCTGATCAATGATTCTCTCACCATTGACGTTTCTATCTCTCCCTTTCCCTTCCTATCTCTGAAATTTAAAAAAAGAAAGAAATCCAAGAAGTCATGGACCTATCGCAATGGCCTCTTTTGGCTCTTTTAAAGCAGAAAGCAACTCTGTAAAACCCCCAAGTAGCCAACAGCCCTGGGTGTTTTCACAACCCTTTCCGTGGAAGTCCCTAAGTGTAATGCCAGAGAGACACCATAACTGTGGCCTCGGGTTGTCTGCAAGGCCACACAAATGCAGACTCTCAACTCACAAGTCAGCGGACTCCGTTTCAGTTCCTCTTACTGGGGCAAAAGGCCTCAGACTCAGGCTGAGCAGAGCTCTGAAGTTGAAGTGCAAGGGCCGACAGTTTCCTCTATGGCAAACCAGCCAGCCCTGACACTTGGTATCCTGGCTTTCCGGGGGTCCAAGAAGGGCCAAACCTATTTTACTGAAGGGCATGGGGGTCGACGACCATCCCTGGTTTGGCGGCCCAAGTCCGGCTGGATGACAGAAAGCAAATGTGTTTTTGGTGCTACTACAGTGGCTTTCATACAATTTTAAAATCGCATCATGGATGTAGCCGGTGTTCCATAAAACATCTGTTCACTATAAAACTGTGTTAACACAATCGGAAATGAACAAGAAGCCAGATCTGTCGACACCCCGTCATTCTTGGGGTGCAGGCCAGTCCCGATTTCTGTATTTCCAAATAACTTGAACAAACGCTGCCTTTCAAGAGCCACCGACCCCACCACCCCACCCGCCCAGTGGCACATGACAGCCAGCCACAGGCTAGGTCATCTGGACCAGGTACATCTTTTCCCCTTTTAACAGGGTTCCTCTTCTTCTGATAGGTCATACATGCACGATGCCAACAGGACAAAAAGGTATACAGTGCCAGGAAGTCCCTGCAACCTCCCACCCCACCCCGGTCCGCGCCCGCGGGGCCGTTCCTTCCAGACACCCCGCATGTACTAGCACATGTGTGTGTACTCGTCTCGGGAACATTTCGCCAGAGAAGCGCAGATGGATTCCTCCCAGCCGCCGAGGCTGGGGGAAGGCGAGACGTTCACGCCACGGGAGCTGGGCAGGGAGGGGGTCCCTGGCTTCGCCATCGTCCTTAAGCTCCCCGGAGCGGTCCTTCTGGCCGGTCCTGGGCTCCCTTCCTTCCCCTCCGGGGTTTCCGCCGGGGAGAGGGCCCCTCCCCACTGGAGGTGGCCCAGGATCCCTTCGAGGCCGTCGGCGAGCTTTCAAAGAGAAAGGCTGGTGACACCACCACCACCGCCGACCACTTTTAAGACACCTGGAAGCCATCGGGTCCCCAAGCGCGAGACCAGGCTTTAGCGCCCTCCGCGCCACGGGGAGCCGGTGCATCCCTGCTCTGCCCACCAACCGGGGGCCGCCGCAGCATCACCTAGACATCCCCGCTCGCCCCTCAACCGGCCGGGGCCGTCCTCCGCTCCCACAGTGGGCGTGTCGGGCAGAGGAAAGGGGGTAAGTCGGGCTTAGCCTGGCCCGGCGGCGGCGGTCACCTGTAGCCACGGTTGGTGGCCCTCGGCGGGATGCGGTAGACGTGGACCTCAGGCTTGACACACAGGACCGACTCATACTCGCCCTCCTCCATCTCGATGCCCACAGCCCGCCAGACTTCCGGCTCCTTCCAGCCCGGGGGCCGGAAGCGGCGCGACTCTATGACCCGTGTCGGGCTAGAGTGGCAACTTGCGGGTCTCAGCGCCTCCAGCGCCTCCAGCGCCCGCGCGCCCCCTGCTGGAAACCCTGGTTCAAGACACACGGCAGCCGAAACCGGTTTGGCTCAGTGGATAGAGCGTTGGCCTGCGGACTGAAAGGTCCCGGGTTCGATTCCGGTTAGGGGCATGTGCCTGGGTTGCGGGCACATCCCCAGTGGGAGATGTGCAGGAGGCAGCTGATCGATGTTTCTCTCTCATCGATGTTTCTAACTATCTCTCTCCCTTCCTCTCTGTAAAAAATCAATAAAAAATATTTAAGAAAAAAAAAAAAAAAAAAAGACACACGGCAGACCCAGGAGTTCGCTTGATGAGAACCAGGGTTCTCTGGGGACTCCCCTCTCCCACAAGGCCTCGTGGACCGCAGAGAAAACGTCAACACTGACTCCACCGTTGTCTGGTTGTGGATTGTCCCTAACGCCTGGACACTTACATCTGGGACCCAGTTGCCCGAGATTCAAAGCTGTGGCGACTTGCACAGCCCACCCTGAAGACTCTCTCTTGCAGCCTTTTGCCTCCTCCTCCTGACTCTCTAAGACTCGACTGAGGCTTCTCCTCCTAGAGAAATCCATACCTGACCCACCATGCTCAGTGGGATGCCCCTACCCGGCCACCCTTATCCTAACCCACGTGCCCAGGGCCTCCTGTGGCCTAGACTCAACAAAGAGTTGTATTCAAAGCAGCAAAGTTTAGTAACGTAAGTGTGAAACTGAATAAAGGAATCCCATTTAAGCCCAGCCAGCATGGCTCAGTGGTTGAGCATTGACCTATGAACCTGGAGGTCACGCTTTTATTCCTGGTCAGGGCACATGCTAGGGTTGCGGGCTCCATCTCTGGTGTGGGGTGGACAGGAGGCAGCCAATCAATGATTCTCTCTCCTCATTGATATTTCTATCTCTATCTCTCTCCCTCTTCCTTCCTCTCTGAAATCAATCAATAAAATATATTTTTAAACAAAAGGAACCCCATTTAAAGTGGAGCCAGGATGTATATGGTAAATGGGAATGCAGCTCTTCTCATGCCCCAACTGCCCCTCCCACCCTGTGGGAATGTAGTGAGGCCGTCTGTACGTGGACTGGGAGACCTTGGGAGCCTGGCCAGTCCTGGGTCTAAGAAAGGCCGGAGACCCCTCACAGGTTTGGCTCAGTGGATAGAACGTCGGCCTGTGGCCTGAAGGGTCCCAGGTTCGATTCCGGGCAAGGGCATGTACCTTGGTTTCGGGCACATACCCAGTAGGGGGTGTGCGGGAGGCAGCTGATCGATGTTTCTAACTCTCTGTCCCTCTTCCTTCCTGGATTGTGAACAGATAGTGCTTCACTCTTACACAGCTTGCATGCAGGCACTTCCCCTCCCCCACCTGCCCTGTTTTGCTTTGTTTTCTGTACTCTATACAACAGTGGTTCTCAACCTTGGCTGCACATTAGAATCACCTGGGAATCTTTTTTTAAAATCCTGATTTCTGGGCCTCATCCTCCGGAAATTCTGTTTCTTTGTTATGGGGTGGGGCCACAACATTAGTCACAAAGAAACAGAATTTCCGGAGGATGGGGCCCAGAAATCAGGATTTTAGGAAGATTCCCAGGTGATTCTAATGTGCAGCCAAGGCTGAGAACCACTGCTCTACAACCTTGCATTGGGAAAGTCTGGGTTGCAGTAAAACAGTCACACCGGCCGGCTGACCCAGGTGTGGCCCATCCACAGGCCAAATGGGACTTGATGGAAAACTTCACCTGTGGCAGCTGCCACTGGTGTGGTGGAGAATTTCATGGGTCTGCCACTAGTGCACATGTAAGTCCTAATATACCCATGTCTTTCGCAGCCAGTCCTCCCGGTTATGCATTTAGAATCCACAAACAATATGCTGAGGTTTTCTCGGACCTTGGGTCTTCGCATAACAAGAGGCCAGAAGAAGGAGCTTTCATGCACTATCATTCCACCTCAATTATGCGCCCTAACAGGAAGCAACTACCTTGCATTCCCAACAAGGACCTCTCCTAACCCCGTAGGGCCGTGGTCGGCAAACCGCGGCTCGCAAGCCACATGCGGCTCTCTGGCCCCTGGAGTGTGGCTCTTCCACAAAATACCACGTGCGGGCGTGCATGTACAGTGCGATTGAAACTTCCTGGCCCATGCGCGGAAGTCGGTTTTCGGCCTGGGCGAGTCCATTTTGAAGAAGTGGCCTTAGAAGAAGTGGGGGGTGTCGGTCGGTCGGGAGAGGCGCGGGGGAGGCGCGCGCGCGATTCATGCACGAGTTGAGCCAGTCAGGCAGCAGTCTCATGTGCAGTGGTTAGTGCTAGTCGTGTCCGCAAATCGCGCGCGGGTGACAAAAGTACCTACTCGAAGCATAAAGTTACCTGTATTTTTCCAACCAGCTGCAAATCCTACAGGTATTTTTGTCATCAATTTAAGAATTGTAATTCTTTTGTGTTGGTGGCTTTATTATTATAAAATGAAACATTTTTTTAGGTGCCCTGTTTGACATGGCTACAAAGAAGAAGCAAAGAAAAAATGGAAGACGAAAACCGTGAATTTAAAGTTAAATTTAAAGTAGAATGTACCTACGTATATAGTTTACGTTTAAAAAATTTGGCTCTCAAAAGAAATTTCAGTTGTTGTACTGTTGATATTTGGCTCTGTTGGCTAATGAGTTTGCCGACCACTGCAGTAGGGGAAGGAGGATTTTTCTCCTTGCCACCCCCCCCACCCCCCCAACAAGCCCAGCCAATGGGAACTCTCGATATTCAATCTATGAGAAGCAATCACCACCCTGAACTCGCACTTTCCGCCAACGACTTTCCTTCAAAGCACCCCTTCCCAATTTCCTCCTTTTTCTCTGGAAAGTAAGGTTCCTCTCTCTCTCTCTCTCTCTCTCTCTCTCTCTCTCTCTCTCTCTCTCTCTCGTTATATATATATTTTCAATTTTTAAATATATTTTTTATTGATTTCAGAGAGGAAGGGAGAGGGAAATAGAGATAGAAACATAAATGATGAGAGAGACTCATTGATCGGCTGCCTCCTGCACGCCTCCTTACTGGGGATTGAGCCTGCAACCCGGGCATGTGCCCTTGACTGGAATTGAACCCAGGACCCTTCAGTCCGCTAGGGCTTCTCTCTCTTTTTTAAAAAAATGTATTTTTATTGACCTCCTGGTTTGTGGGTCAATGCTCAACCGCTGAGCCACGCTGGCCGGGCAATAATTGTTATTTTCCATTTTCTTTGGTAATTGCCATTCTGGAGGTCGTGACGTTCACCTCACACCTTTAGGTGAATTGACTTAACCTCTAATTTCAACTCTGCTCATTACCCTGATTCTCCACAGCAAAGGAGACATTGAGCAATGACCCAGAAGATGAGATTTCTTCCTCCTACTTCTTTGGCCCTGCCTCTCGTTTTCTTAACCTTCTGGGGTGGCAAGGACAGAACTTCCCTTAGAAGGTGAAGGGGAGAGCGATTGAGAGGAGAGGGGAGGGGAGGCCACACTCCCACATGGACAATCTTATCCCCTCCCGTTCTCAGCGTTTGTTTACGTCTGCTGTTCCACTAGACCGAGAGCTTCTTGGATGTGGGAACCTGTCCCTGCCACCTGTGGATCCCTGGATTCAGCAGCACAGGGCCTGGCACAGAGTAAGAGCTCGTGAGAGCTGAACTGTGGGGTGATACCTGCTATCAGCACCAAGTTCCATCCGTCACTCTGCAGGCCCAGCCGTGTGACGGTGGCCCACGGTGGCTGTGGAAACCTTGCCCTCATGAACCTAAAGGGAACCGCCACGCTGTGCCGGGGCAGCACGTCTTACAATGTACTCAGAGCACTTTTGGTTCAGTTCCCGCCAACAAAGACGAGGGGCCTTGAGCACTTACCAGGGGCCAGGTGCTCGGTGATGCGGCCACGGAGATGAGCCCCACCCTGCTTTTGCCCTCGTGGAGCTCAAATACTGTGGGAGACACAGGGGGAAAGTCCTTTGCAATGCAGAGTGAGAAGTGCCTGATGGAGGGAACTCCCAGGGGCTGAGGGAGCAAAGAGAAGAGACCCCTCTCAGCCTGGGGGAGTCAGGGAAACGCTCTCCGAAAGAGGCGACCTTTTGTTGTTGCTGCTGCTGTTTGTAATTTTATTTGTTTATTTGTTTATTGACAGAGGTGGTCTTGACACGACCAGCCCTGTGAGGTGGGCAGTGCACGGATTGTTGTCCTCAGTGTGTAGTGGAGGCCCCTGGAGGAGTGCCAAGCCCCGGGAGACGGCACTGCCGTCTAGTTGGAGGTCAGACAGTCCCTTGCCTTACCCTCAAACCCCAGCCCCAGGCAGGACACTCATTCCTGACATCTCTTCGTAAACCTCTGCTGCTGACAATAACCGGGCCTACTGCTCCTCACCGGTTACCTACGGTGTTTAGCCAAGGAACTCAGTTCGGCCCGCCAGGCAGAGGAGGGGCTCAGCAGCGCCCTCCCCTGTGCGAGGAGGTGAGCAGGGTGCCTCCTCTCGCCGAGATTCCGCCGGCTGCTTTGTGGTAGGCGCAGGGCCAAGGTGCGGGTTTGATGCGAGCAGCTTCCTTGCTGGCCTCCAGAAATAGATACCACAGGTCACTCGTCAGCTTTCTCTGTGGTATTTTCCTACCGTCCTAGACATTTCTAAGAGGAATGCCCCCTTTCTCAGATGGGGAAAACGCTTACAAGGCTGCCAAAAGGATCTTGGAAAAGAACCAAGTCGATATGTGGAATCTGACGAACAAGACAAATGAATAAATAGATTCATAAATACAGAGAACAAACTGATGGTTGCCAGAGAGGAGGGGGGTGGGGGAATGGGTGAAAAGGGGGAAGGGGGATAAGGGGTACAAACCTCCGGTTATCTGAAAAAGAAGTCGTCTGGATGTGATGCACCGCTTAGGGAGAATAGTCAATGTTATTGTAATAGTTTCTTACGATGGCAGATAGTTACTGGAGTTATTGT